AACAGATTAGCCTCTCTCAAAAGACTAGTCTCTCTCAACATACCAGTTTTTCTCAACAGACCAGCCTCTCTCAACAGACCAGCCTCTCTCAACAGACCAGCCTCTCTCAACATACCAACCTCTCTCAACAGACCAGTCTCTATCAACAGACCAGCCTCTCTTAACAGATCAGCCTCTCTTGGCAGACCAGCCTCTCTCAACAGACCAGCCTCTCTTAACATACCAGCCTCTCTAAACAGACCAGCCTCTCTCAACAGACCAGCTTCTCTCAACATATCAGCCTCACTCGACAGACCAGCCTCTCTCAATAGACCAGCCTCTCTTAACAGATCAGCCTCTCTTAACATACCAGCCTCTCTCAACATACCAGCCTCTCTCAACAGACCTGCCTCTCTTAACAGATCAGCCTCTCTTGGCAGACCAGCCTCTCTCAACAGACCTGCCTCTCTTAACAGATCAGCCTCTCTCAACATACCAGTCTTACAACATAAAGACCAGCCTCTCTCAACAGACCAGCCTCTCTCAACAGACCAGCCTCTCTTAACATACCAGCCTCTCTCAACATACCTGCCTCTTTCAACAGACCTGCCTCTCTTAACAGATCAGCCTCTCTTGCCAGACCAGCCTCTCTCAACAGACCAGCCTCTCTTAACACCAGCCTCTCTCAACAGACCAGCCTCTCTCAACAGACCAGCTTCTCTCAACATATCAGCCTCACTCGACAGATCAGCCTCTCTCAACAGACCAGCCTCTCTCAACAGATCAGCCTCTTGGCAGACCAGCCTCTCTCAACAGACTAGCCTCTCGACATACCAGCCTCTCTCAACAGATTAGCCTCTCTCAAAAGACTAGTCTCTCTCAACATACCAGTCTCTCTCAACAGACCAGCCTCTCTCAACAGACCAGCCTCTCTCAACAGACCAGCCTCTCTCAACATACCAACCTCTCTCAACAGATCAGTCTCTATCAACAGACCAGCCTCTCTCAACAGATCAGCTTCTCTCAACAGACCAGCCTCTCAACATATGTCTCTTTCAACAGACCAGTCTTACCATACAAGACACCAGCATCTGTCAACTGACAAATCGTAAAGGCACTAGCATCTCTCAACAGACCCGCCTTTCACAACAGACCAGTCGTAACATTAGGGCACCAGTAACTCACAAGAGACCAGTCTCTCTCATCAGACCAGTCGTAATATACACGAGACCAATCTCTCTCACCTGACCAATCTTACCCTCCAAGATACCAGCCTCTCTCAACAGACCATTCTTACCAATCAAGAGACCAGCCTCTCTCAAAAGATTAGTCTTATCCTACAATAGACAAGCCTCTCTCAACACACCAGTCTTACCATACAAGACACCAGCCTTTCTCAACAGATCAGTCGTAACATACATTAGACCAGCCTCACATAACAGACATTAGACACCCACCTCTCTCAAAAAGACCAGCCTTACCATACAAGAGACCAGCCGATCTCAAAAAGACCAGTCAGACCTATCAAGAACTCAAAGCGACAGATATTCGTGCACTGCAGTACAAGCCTGATGCTACTGTCTACTTCAAAGTAAATTAGCATTAGCAGATAGCTGGCAATTGCTAAGCTAGGGTCGTAAGATTATGATCTCATCTGTAGCCCCTGTCAAGTTGTACAAGAGCAGAAAAAAAAAGATAAAAGCTGTCATATTTGAGCACCTAAAAGCAAGTCATAAACACACCTTTTTATGATGATTTCCCTGAATTTAAAAATATGTTGCCAATTTCATTTTTCTTTATGTGACGTTTATTCAAAGAATAAATTTTAAAAATAAACACATTTTTTTGTGTTACATTTTTGTAAAATAAGTAAACATTAAGTCATTATTAATGTGATTAATGTGTTATGTCTCATTCATAATATATCTGACAATACGGTTTCTGTTTTTACTATTATCATTCTACAAACCCAGCACCCACCAGATTTAGTAAAATAAACTGTGAGAATAGAAAGATGTAATAAATAAAGCATAACCTTCAACAGTTAACAAGTCTAGTGCTAAATACAGACATAATGAATACAGTCAAAAGCGATAAAGCCATACTAAAACATCTCTACTAAAATTAAACTGAACCCATAATGTAGAATAAACTCAAATAATTAAAATATGAGCCCAAAACTATAATCTAAATATTATGAAGTGTTAATTATAACTTAAAAACATAAACATAACTAAATCACGTTCATTGGACAAAACGAACGAACGCGGCTGAGACCGAAATTCTCGGCCCAAAACAGCTAAGTCTGCGCGCGCACAGATAGACGGTTTGCACCGAGAATTTTAGACCGAGCAAACCGTCTATCTTTTTAAACCTGCTATAATTTCGTAAATATCAACAAAACCCATTTTAAAACACTACAGTATAGTCGGTAGAGAGTTTCTTCGGAGATATCTTTAGAAAAAATTTGTATTAGAGCGATCGAGAAGGAAATAATCAGTTTTTTGTCTCTCCTGTAAAATTTACATTTTCGGAGTTAGACGGTTTGCGACCGAGACCATCGATATATATATATATATATATATATATATATATATATATATATATATATATATATATATATATATATATATATATATATATTATATATATATATATATACATATATATATATATATATATATATATATATATACATATATATATATATATATATATATATATATATATATATATATATATATATATATATATATATATATATATATATATAAACTAAGTTACATTTATTTGGAATTAAATAAATAAATTTCAATAAAAATTGTCTTGCTTAAATATTCTTAAATTTCAAATTAAATATAATTTTTTTAAACGTAACTTACATACTTTGATTCCCATTTATTTACGTTGAAATTAACTTCAGTTCATGCCAATTTAAACACGGAAATAAACACTGAAATCAGTAATATTTATCTAAATTTTAGAGATAAAAAGTATATTTGTATTTCAACGGCACTAACAAAATTTAAAAAAAACAACACATTGGGGAAGTAGTTAATTTGTACCTCATAAGAAAATAAATCTTATAATCTTATATAACACTACTGGGGCGGCAACTCGGATATAGAAATGATTTTTAATTACTTTATTTTGTTTTAAATAGAATAGAATCTCGTAAAAAAAAGAATTGCACTCCAAGTGAACGCCAAAAAAAAAATGTGCATAATAGTGTGGAAGATTGTTAGTACTTTATAAATTTACATGCATTTTTTGAGATGTCGGAAACAGCCTAAATAACTAATTCCGGTCAACGGAAGCTACTCAAAATTTGATAGAAGGCATAGAATTTGATTAAGTAATTAAAAATTAATTAAAAATCATATCTATACGCCGAGTTTCCACCCCCGGAGATAAGTATATTCGAGAAAGTTTAGGGGAGATCACTCTCGTGTAATTTTTGTATGTTACCTTTAACGATATATTAATGTGTATTTCTTATAACGTCTATGTTCAACACATATTAGTAATTTTTGTTAGAATACCTTTAACATGCAGTTGTTCTAGATTTAATTTAATTAGATGTTTAATTAATCATCAACAAATTAATTAAACGGGGTCGAAAACTAAAGGGAGATAACAAAATTAAATCACTTGATAGATTACTATCTATCTATATATATAATTCTCTTCTGGGAGACGTTAGAAAACAAGCTGCAAGCACCTCCTTGCAGTCCCCTCTCTTTCTCTCTTCGGGCTTTGACCGTAACATATATATATAATTCTCTTCATGTGGACCATAAAAAACATCACGCAGCTTAGCCACCATCCTCATCTCCACCTGTCAGGTGAGTTGTGGTTCACCCCGAATATTTACAATCGTAGAGCCAGGTTAGCGACGACTATTAGGGGCAGATAATTTAGTATTAAACGATTTGAAACGAAGGGGAGGTAACAATTTCTGATTGACATTTTTATTGTCTGTAAATGACTGCTTTCACTGGGCGGGGGGGGGGGGGGGGGGGGTAGGGGGGGGGGGAAAGGGGGAATAGTGTTGAATTTACAATTGATGATAAGCAGAAAAAAACAACTAGATGGCGGCGTATGTTACGTCGCGGGTCAGCTCATATTCAATAATAGAAGAGGAGATTAACTAGCTAGACGAGATCACGATAATGTTTACAATCGTAGAGTCGATCGATCTAGTGAAGGCTAATAGGGGCAGATAATAAAGTTTTTAAAACGATTTGAAACTAAGGGGAGGTAGTAAGATAAAGAACTATTCCACCCTATATCAGCTTGCTGATATCTGTAAATTGTGGACACTTACGGATGCATTCACAAGGCAGATAATCGTCTTTCAGATATCAAAAGTAGAAAATAAAACAAATATAAAAATATATTTATAACTACAAGCTTTTAAATACACTGAAAATAAGAAGATAAAACGAATCTGCTTTCTTGCATACAATCTTTAGTCGCTAAAATATGTAAAAGAATGAAGGCAGATTAATTTTATTTGAACTTGCTTCCTCATTCAGACTGTCTATCTGTCGTCATAGATCGAAACGCCCAATTAAGCAAAATTTCGGACACTGACAGATTATTTTTAAAGTTGGCACGTGGTCAAGACTCATGAACACAACGCAATATGTTATTAAATTTGACTTAATTGACTTAATTGGATTCCTAATTATTTTTTTATGAATTAAAAAATGTATCCAATAGATAATAAAGTGACCCACGCTTTTTAAAATAGTTATTGGAATAGTAGTGTATTATTATATATTTAAAGAAAATAATTTATTTGCTTCTTTTTAGTGCATAATTACATCTATATAAAAGCTTGTTATTAAAACGTTTTATATGAATTTTACGGTGCCTGTAAAAGCTTGTTAATATAAAGGAATTTTATATTTGTTTTTTTTTCTTGTAATCTCAACACCATATATTTTTCAATTGTTTGCTGCAACTGGAAGACATCGCTCTATGTAAAATAATTCTACTTCCTTTTTTCGCTTTGTTAGGCTATGGCATTTGGATAAACATCAACAGTGGATTCATAAAAGAAAATCTCTTAGTTGATACAGATCTAAGTACGTATATTTAAAGCATTGGTGTACATGGATTAAAAGTATCGTAGAAAAGGTAATTAATATTAGAAAACGGGTATTTAAAGTATTAAGGAACTGTTAATTACAGTAACGATGTTCTGCTCTTAATTTAATGAAGTACAGATAACTAATAAATAGCCTAACTATTTGAAGAAACGGTAATGTAATGTTTTTGGTGAATTGAAGGGGCGCAGGTATTGGAAGTATTATTACATTGGATCAGAAGAAATCGACTTATCATACACTTGCAATTACGCATGAGATTACGGAGGTGGAACAGTGGAGTAGCTAGGATTTTCGGACCCCAATGCAAAAATTCTTAGCGGGCCCCTTTGTAAGCCATTGAAACAAAAAAAAAAATCAACTGCCACCTACGATAAAGGGTTTTAAATAATACTAGACAACCCGTTATTGTTAGATAACTGTGGGTTTCGGGGGTCATCCGTAAATGACATCACATCTGTCACGTATTATCACAAAATAACCAGACCTCACATTAAAAAGACGACACACCTCAGACGTTTTTGTCTTTTAAAAACACCGATTTCGGCTGAGCATGGTTCTGACCACACAATCCATTCAAATGCTGATGTCACAGGTGAACTCTACACCTACCCAACTCTACTTCACCTGTCCAGTGTCCCTCTTTGTCTCAGACATGTTTTTAAAGTTTAAAAAAAAAAGATTCCGGCCAAGCATGGCTCTGACCACACTATCCCTTCATAGGCTGAGGACACAGAAACTCTACTTCACCTGCCCTGTATCCAGCCAAGTTCCGATAGGCAACTTTATCATTCACATCTAAAAAGAAATTGAAAAAAATTAACGTTAACATGATGAGACTCGAACCCGTGCAACCCGGATGGTAACTCTAATACACGAATTCCTTAGCTATCTAGGCGCATATGATCATGGACGTATTTACTTATATATTTTACTTTTAGTCTGCTTAGGAAACTTCATTTACGCGAACAGGCCATAGTATTATTTCAAATTAAATATTATCCCAAATTGGCCAATTCCATTGAAAAAAAAAACAACAACAAAGATTTATATAAAATAATTAAGGCCTGAAATAGTTTAGTATATAGATTCTAGACCTAGGTTCTAGATGTAGAATTTACGTTATAGTTTTTGCCGTAGCTCAAGATCTAGAACCTAGATAGGTAAATCTCATGAATTCTCGAAGAAGATGATCATTCAAGCTAAGAAATATATTTAAGGACTACATAGTTTAATAAAAAAATCCAAAGATTTATTGTGATTTTAAAATGGTTTTTATTTTGAACTTATTAATTTTGGTTTGACCTAGATTCTAGATCTAGGGTTGTTCTCTACATAAACACTTTTTTACAACTCTACATATAGTGCAGATTCTCTCCTGTAAACAAACAGACAAAAAAAACAATGAACAAAACAAATAAATATACAAACATGTAAACAAACTTGAGTTTAGTAGTATACAGATAAATATTCTGTACATTTGGTCTTTTATACGTCCTGATTGTGCATTTATACTATATTATTATGTAGTCCAACTACCCCCTAGATTTGTAAAAATGTTATAGCCTTAAAGTTATTTTTTTTAAAGTAACCAAACACAGTTACCTCACAAAGTGGGGGGCTAATGACAACATTTAAGCGTGACACCATGACATAACATTGTAAACTTTACTGTCAAAACTATGTTGCATCAAGCTAAAATAATAAAAGATTATTGAAAGAGAGGTGACTCCTCACATAAAATGCTAATGGGGCGATACCTTTTGTAAACGAGCACGGCAACACACACCTGACCTTGTGACGCCACCAACCTTACACAATTCTTTAAAATTGTATATGATTTATTTAGATCTGTTTTTTTTTCTTCAAGCTTTTGATTTAGAAAAATTAGTAGTAAGTTTCTTGAGATTCATTTTAGCTGCTTCTGTATGTTCGATTCTTAGGATGGCTAAGTTCCTGACCCACTGGTCATATTTACAATTTGTTTCATAAAAAATTATCAGGAGAATATAATGGGATTTAAAAAGTACATGAGAGACACACATTTCCTTCCCGATCACCGTGAAAAAATGTTTATACCGACTAGCTTACCAGTCCGCGTTGCTGCGATCTAGTTCTACATATCAGAGTAACGAAACAATTTGTAAAAGTTTCATCAACGTGTATTTTTAGTCTTATGACATTGTTTCCTAAAAACTGAGATGGTTAAAAATTAAGCCACGCCACTGCTTTATTTTTTCGAAGCTTTGTTTCTGGGGCGCGGGTTGGTCCACACTACCGCTCAGACGCCCTTAAGCGTGTTTATGAAAGCACTGAGTGTAAGTTAATCATCCTCCGTAATAATGAGGTTGAATCTCTTTCTGTCACCGCCAAGGTATTAAATGCGTCGAGGGAGTGACTGGATACACTAGTGTAGGTAGCCTGTTGCAAACCCAGACTCAGTTAATTTATCGAACGTAGAGGCCCACCGTGTACATAGTATAGAATACACGTGTGATTAGTGTCATCCGTACGCCGGAGGCGTCGAAAGCCGCCCTTAGTGCAGTTTGATCATTGAATCAATTAGTACCCCTGCCTCTGCAGGACGCGCAATCAACGGATTCTTTGCACTCAGGTAGCCTCTGGGTAACTCTGGACGCCCAACCGCTACTACTGCTGAAGCGCCGAAGGTCAACCCTTATTAGATTTAGTAATCGATTTTTTTTTCATTCCGTGTCACTAGTGTAGGTCACTCATTAAAACGATTATATGCGCCGTAGTGTTCATGGGAGAAACCGAGGACACCGGCTGATGCTGAAAAAAATAGGAACGCTGCCACGGACACCCAATCAACGAACTGCAGGTGCAAAGTTAGCCGCTGTGAAAGTCTGGGTGACTAATGGCCAGTGGCGTAGCGAGGTCTGATTTTACCCGGTGCGGCACTTAATAGCGTAACCCCCCCCCCCAGAGGCGTAGCGACCCTTCACGGGGACAAACTTTCAATTTTCGATTTGCATCTCCCCCCCCCCCCCCCCCATTAAACTTTCGATTTGCACCTCTTAAAACACTATTTAACACTCGAATTAATCACTTAATTAAGTGGGATTATCATTTATCTCTATATATTTTGCTATTTTTTGCCTTGGTGTCACCCCCCTAAATGGTGTCACGCGGTGCGGTCCGCACCCCCCGACCCCCCCCCCCTCGCTACGCCTCTGCAAATGGCACCGCCTTACTGCGGGGCGCGCCCTCCGAAATAAAATAAAAATTTAATGGCAGAAACCTTATCAAAAGTCTGAGTTTCTTTCAGAAAAAAATGTCTGGAAATAAAAACACTGCCTGGAGTATTCTCAACGAATTCCTAAAGTTTCTTGGCGATTAGATGAAACCCGAAAACTAATTAATAGTGTTAGTAGCGTCATGTTGATTAAAGCTTAATGAGATCAACAAATGAAATGTCAAAAATAAGTAGAGAAACATTGACACATGTTGGACTTATATCAAACAAATATTAAAATTCCAATGTAAAAGTTTTTTTTTTAAGAGTTAAAAAAAGGCTCCTACGTGCCTTAGGCTCCTATGCCTGGCTTACGCTAGCTTTACAGTAGCTACGCCACTGAGGAGGAATTAATCTGTTTGAGTAGTGGAGTCACTGGTAATGGCGATTGCTTGAGAGAGGTTAAAAATAGAACAGCTATGTAGCTAATTATGAATGTCTTCTGTTGGAAGTAAAACCAAAATAAAAAGTCTGATTGTTCTGCTGGAGGCGAGATCAATGTTTTCTATGGACGACCAAACGCAAACAACTGATAACGAAATTATTTTAAATTTTCAGCATTGTTTTCCCAACCCAGCCATAGAACAAGTCACTTGTCGGAGTTTGAAAAATGCTTTTCGCTACTTTAATTTTGAGTGTGTTTTTTATCGTTACAGGTAAATTAATGTATCTATAATATATTTTCTGTTATGATTTTGATAAAATGATACTTATATGATAAAAAATGTAATGTATATATATATTCATACTCAAAGGAAATATGAAAACTTGCAATAAAAAGTTTGATTTTTTTCCATTGATGTAGCACTATGCTATACAGAGTCTAATTTAAAGCTATGAATAATTGTATTAACATTGCGAAAGATTTTTAGTTAAATATTTATTCCCAATATGGGTTTGTATATAACTCGACACATTTGTGCTAAAGAGAGTAAAACAAATATAAAAACATTAAAAATAATAAGCTTTTAAACGCACTGTTAGTATACGACATGTTCGACTTAATTTCCATTCGTCTGGACGCATAAGACACGTTTAACTGAACCCCACACATCTGTTAACATATAACATGTTTAACTTTATCCAATACATATTTTAGCATTTGACATGTTTAACTTTATCCTCATATATATTTTAGCATATGACATGTCCAGTTTAACTCCATACATCATTTACAACTACTTTTTCTCTGTTTCAATTGCATATCATTTTTTTTTCTATGTCCGTCTTAAGAAAGCGAAACCGATCAGAACTCTCTTGAATTTCAAAGAGCAAATGGAATCAACGTTACAATAGATGGCTACCTACCCCGGTGTCCAGGGTGTGTGGTGTTTGGGAGGGATCCACTGATCGTCTATGGCAAGTTTCATCTACCAAGGGACAAGTGGCACATAATAACGCCAGATCCCGCGTACACACGACCTCAACCATCCTTTTTCGTCTCATTTTGCCGTTCAGGCTGCGAAGACTTAGCCGATTGGAAAAAATGGTTTGGGGTAATTAGTACATTATTTCTAATTATGAAAAAATAATATAGTTTAAAAAAAATACATATTAAGTATCGCAGACAGAGTATCTTTGGAAATGTTCCAGAAAATAAAATTTAAATGATTTTAGGAGCATATAACCTCGCATGAAACATCTACACACTATAATAGTTGGTGACAAGTTAAAGATATGTATCTAAGAACAAGTTATTTTTTAGTTAAATATTTGTTTTTTAGTTTGTACAAGAAACCTTGCTGCACTTACTGATTATTACTTTTTATCTCGTTGCCATTCGTTGGTTTTTTCTAAAAGATTAATATGGGATCTATACATTAATCCGGATTTAGCAATGGAATGGAGCTGGAGTTGCCACCTTTCCCCCTTACAGCATTTACGGAAAGTTGTTTTCGGTGTTTTCTCTAGGCTTTTTTCAACGGGTTGGGGGGGGGGGGATAAACATTTCCGGGGGACGGACACTGTTAAAAGTATATGTTTTCTATATAAATTCCATTTAGTTCGGGGGGAGGTGTAGACCTTCTCCGAGAGGGGGGGGGGGGGGGGGAGGCCACGAAGATATGCCTAGAACAGTGGTTCCCAAACTTTTTCGAGTGGCGACCCCTTTTATAAAAATTAAGTGACCCGCGACCCCCATAGAATTAAAAACTCGAAATTAGTAAGGAATTTCATCATCACTGAAATAAGATTTTCTAGTAGACTTTCAATATGAATTATTCTTGATAAATGTTTAATACGATGAGTAAAACTGCATGCTATTCACTAGCCTCGACATTCACGTTGAGTTTTTGTTAACGCCAACCTCATGTCATTCTTAGCATTTAATTTATTTATTTGCTTTGTTTTTAATTGGAGAAGTGTTGAAACTCTATTCTCGCAAAGATATGTAGACACAAAAGGAATCAAAAGGCATCTGACGCGGAATCATTCCGCACATTTAAGAATCCATCTTGTAATTCATTGGGAATGCTCGCAACATCAAGGGAAGCAGAGGATGGGTAAAGTGTCAATGCAGATTTTTCTTCTTTCAGCTCAGGGTTAACGCCGCAGTTCGATGCTAAGAGATTCAAGATGCCCAGAAATCTCCTCTTTCAAATTTGTATTTACCTCACAATCATACTCATCAACCATGGCAATATTTCCAAGATTTGTTTTTCTTCGCCAATTTTGTAGCCTTGGTAGTCATGAAAAGAGATAATATTCGTTCTTTTTCTCTGAAGCTTCAGGTTAAGCTTATGTTGATGTTCGAATACATCTGCTAGGTATGATTCTCTCTCCAACCACTCTTTGTCGTTAAAGTATATCAAAAGGTGTTGTTTCCCTTGCACCTCCAAGAACAACTTGATTTTATCTGTCAATTCAAAAACACAATTCACAACATTTCCTTTTGACAGTAGCAGAACCTCATGATCTTTATTCACATCTTTGCACAGTTATTTAAACAGACGGGTGTTTAGGGCTCCAGATTTAATCTAATTTACGACTTTCATTAGCATTAGCAATGGAGTCGAAAGAGTATTGCTGGCGAGGGCATATCGGTGAATCATGCAATGGATTCCCATTGACTAGTCAGCTAAATCTTTTACTGTTTTCTGAAAGCCCGATCTTGACCCAAACCTAGATGGCGCAACATCCTTACAAACTCCAAGGCCGTTTCTCATTTTTAATCATCCAGTTTTTAAAAAAAAACTTTTTTATTTTCTCCATGATATCTTCACATAATAGCAACTCTTATTTGCTATTATCTGAATGAATATATTTCACAAAGACAAGCAAATTAATATCTCACCATCTTCAACATTGAGGGTTTGATGAAATTTTCTCCTATTGTGTGAGAGGTTTTTTTTGCTTGGCAATTTCTAATGCGACTTCATATAATGCTTGCACTAATGCTGTGTGAAAACTTCCTGTTCGATCAAGTATCTGACGTTTGCAACTAACTTCATGCATACGAAATAACGTAACATCTTTTTGATGGGTTCCGAATGACTCGTCTCAAAATTACGTTTTAGTTTTGAAGGTTTCATAGAGTCGTTGATGAGAACAACTTTGCACAGTACGCATTGTTTCTTTCCTATTACATTTCCGGTGATGTTAATAGGATCAAATTTCAGATATTTTTCTAAATATTTATGTTGGTTTTCATTGCTAAGGTTTAGTCTACAAGTTGGCGACCCCCCAGAAAGCCCTTCGTGACCCATAGGTGGGTCGCGACCCCCAGGTTGGGAACCCGTGAAGAATCTCTAGTTGTTTCACTCCGGCGCCTTACCACACTCTCCTTTCAAACTCCTTTTATTTTAATTTTAAAATGAAATATGATGCCATGGTTGATCAAGTATAAATATATACTTATATAGATGTCGATTCTTGCTTTTGAAATAAAATAATTACGCTTCATTAAAGCACTGAAGTTTTTCTTGTATTATCTTTTCTTTAGTATTGCCGGTTTGGAAAGGATTTCTTCAAACCAGACGGCTGCAAATTAAATGATCAAATAGTACGAAAATTGGCCTATTCCAATTGCTACTGTGATGACACTGAACCGATGCGCTGGTTTGCTTTGATAGATCCCTTTTATTTTAAAAGTCCTTATATGATAATCCGTGCTGTTTGGGATGGAGGCGATAGAACGAAACCAAGATTTTTTCCACTCCAGAAGCATAACACAATTTATCTCAAGGATATTATTGGTAAGTTTGCTAAATATATTATATACAAAATTTATAACAAACATTTATATAACTATACAATAAAAGGAAGGAAATGAATATTCTTTAAATATGTCATTATGCATAATTATTTAGATTATAATAATTATACAAAATTTATAACAAACAGTTATTTAACTATACAATAAACAAAAAGGAAATAAATGTTTTTTTGAATATGAAATAATGCATTACTATTTAAATTATAATAATTATAAAGTAAAGCTTAGGTAGCTTATGCCATTTAAGTAAAGGTATTCAATAGATAAAATATTCACCCCCGCTTTTCTTTATAGTTATTTAAAGACTACAGTGTTTTATATCTTTAAAGAAAAAAATTCATTTCCTAATTTTTAGCGCTTCTTTCCTATTTAAAAAGGAAAGTGTTCAGATTCTAGTTAGGGCACTTGCCGGTGCAGCAGGTTTTTTAAATTTGGCAGATCTTCGCGTAATTGGGATTAGAACACGGGAGCAAAAGCCGGTTGGTCACAAAGTCAATGACACGCGGGTCAAAACTGATCACCACTGAACATTACCTCAAACGAGCTAAATATTAAAAGAACTCCACATGTCGAAACCCGCTGTTAATTTAATAGTTCGTACATCGACCACAGCGTCACGAAAAACACTGAAGACTGTTAGAACTGACCACATGCCACATATTCTTATATATAAACGTGTTTAATTTTTGTAAAAATATCGAAACAAAAAAAAAACCTCATTCGAATGTTGTAAAAGGGTACTAACTACCTAAAGTATTGATTTTACATTTGAGTTTTATTAAATTTTGAGGCCAAAAAAATACGAAATTTAGTTTTCGTTAGAGTAATTATTCTATACATATTAAAATTTGTATCCCATTAAAATTGTTGAAATTAATTAATATAACATAATCTTTAAGTTGTAATATCGTCTAATTAATTGATGCGCATTCTACCAAAGTTTCTTTAAAAATGAAAAAAAAAACTGCTAAAACTTGAACCCTCCAGCTTTATATAAAACTTTCACCAATTAATAAATTATTCAAATGTTCAGTTTTAACATGTATTAAAATTGGACGTTTTGAATTCGTTAAATAGATGGCATTTTTAGTTATATAAAGCACATGTAAAAAAAATAGGCCTATTTATATTACTGTCCTTAATCTTTATCCGTAGTCACTAGCCGATGAAGAATACTTCAATACGAAAGCGAACAAGCAGATGACTTATGTAAATTACATAAATGATGCATTTTAAAAAAAACGAAATATAATATTGTAAATCACCACGCTTAATCGTATGTGAAAAAAAATTAAATAGGTAACCTAAAACAAAATCCATTACATATTCTTTTATACCTAAGTTTATGATTGTTTTAAGACTTTTTTAATGATGGCATTTATTAAAATAATAACGTCCATAGGGTATATAAATTACAGTTTATCTATTTCTGTAACGTTGTCATATGGGTTATAATGTGATAAGTTCACATTTGATTTACCTAACTTAAGTTATGCACCCATCGGGATGGGTTGGTTCAGGGATGTAAAATTAAGGGCCGCAGCGAAAATGATTTTTTTTCCCCGCAAAAGCGGCAAAAACAAATTCTCAACAACTTCCCAAACTAGCATAGCGATCGGCTGAAAGGTGTAGTAATGCTTAAAAGACAGACAGACAGACACACATTGCTTTATATATATATATATATATATATATATATATATATATATATATATATATATATATATATATATATATATATGCCTATATAAATTTTGATGACTTATTCTGGTAGTAGCTCCAAAACAAAAGTCGGGAATCTAAATAGCCAAAATCACCGAGAGCAGGAATTATGTATAACATGTAGCATTTTAATCTAAATTATAGTGGTGGAAAATGTTGCTTGTTCTTATGAATTTCCTGAAAACATTTTCTGTATATTTTCGTTTAGCTCTGGTTAATGTGTTATTAATAGTGCAAAAAAAAACTGTATTAGAACTTAAAAAAATAAGTTTGATCTTTTGGACATGCCAGTCCAAAACTGAAAGATGGAGTGACGTTCACCTGGTTATGTGACCTTATTAGCGTAGCCTGGATACACACAGATGATCTAAAGACCAAAACGGCAAAATTAAAAAAAATTCCTCTAAAAAAAAAACATCACAACACCCCAGGCATAACGTGGGATTAAAATATTGTCTTAATACAGATCGTGGCCATATTGTTATGTCTCAAAGATCTACGAACAGATCCAAGTCCTGGGCGGCGGGTAAGTTATCTTTGATGTTGGTATCTAAACTGTTCACGCATAACACAACCAGCCTATAGACTGCAAGTTGCTTCTACATTAATGATCCCTACCAGCCTAAAGACTTTTAGTACATTATGTATTAATACACACAAAAGAGTGCTAGTGGCTGTTATATTAATAAACCGTACAAGCCTAAAGATCGTAATAGCTTCTACATTAGTACACCATACCACCAAAAAGACTGCTAATAGTAATAGCTTCATCATTAATAAACCCTACCATTCTTAAGACTCATTAGAGTCTCTACATTAATAAACCCCACCAGCCAACGTATATAACAAACATATATCTTGTCACCACCGGGATTGTTCAAGTGTAGTTTGTAGTTTGTAACACTGACATGTTTATGTAGAAATATCAACATGTTTTTACAGATCTTCTGCTGGAGTTGACCTCAGTTGTCCTGGCCTTTGGTACCGTGGCTTTCTTCATGTCTTAGGCTGAGATCCTGCTCATTGGTGTCCATTTGGGTGTGACCATTACAAATCTCGGAACCAGGCAACTCTGTATCACCACCAGATAGAATGTAAAATGGCTCATGTTAGTGTTTCAATAAAGTTTTATTTCTAATTCATTAAAAGACACAGTCAATGTTTCTACATCAGAACATTGTTTAATAACTTACTACATAATTGTATAACTATAAATTTTTAAAGGCGGTGTATTTTGTTTTGAAAATAGGAATTATCTTTAGTTTATAACTAATTTTAACTTGTAGTTAGGTTTACATTAAAGTTCTTTTTAAGTTTACTATTTTAAACTATATATATATATATATACACACACACACACACACATACACACACACATATATATATATATATATATATATATATATATATATATATATATATATGTTTATATATACATATATATATATATATAAACTAAGTTACATTTATTTGGAATTAAATACATATATAAATATAAATATAAATATATATATATATATATATATATATATATATATATATATATATATATATATATATATATATATATATATACATATATATAAACTAATTAACATTTATTTGGAATTAAATAAATAAATTTTAATGAAAGTTGTCTTGCTTAATGTTTCTTAATTTCAAATTAAATATAATTTTGTTAATTAAACGTAACTTACATACTTTGATTCCCATTTATTTACGTTGAAATTATCTTCAGTTCATGCCAATAAACACGGAAATCAGTTATCTTTATCTAAATTTTAGAGTTAAAAAGTATAATTGTATTTCAACGGCACTAACAAAATTTAATAAACAACATATTGGGGAAGTAGTTAATTTGTACCTCATACGAAAATAAACTGGGAGTGATCTCCCTAAACTTTCTCGAATATTCTTATATAACACTACTGGGGCGGCAACTCGGATATAGAAATGATTTTTAATTACTTAATTTTGTTTCAAATAGAATAGAATCTCGTAGAATAAAGAATTGCACTCCAAGTGAACGCCAAAAAAAAATTTGCATAATAGTGTGGAAGATTGTTAGTACTTTATAAATTTACATGCATTTTTTGAGATGTCGGAAACAGCCTAAATTACTAATTCTGGTCAACGGAAGCTACTCAAAATTTGATAGAAGGCATAGAATTTGATTAAGTAATTAAAAATTAATTAAAAATCATATCTATACGCCGAGTTTCCACCCCCGGAGTGTTAGATAAGTATATTCGAGAAAGTTTAGGGGAGATCACTCTCGTGTAATTTTTTTATGTTACCTTTAACGATATATTAATGTGTATTTCTTATAACGTCTATGTTCAATACATATTAGTAATTTTTGTTAGAATACCTTTAACATGCAGTTGTTCTAGATTAAAGAAAATATTGCGTGTATTCATTATAGTACTCACTGATGAAGACACGGACAAAGGACATCTAGGAAATTCATTTTTTGGTCGGTTAAATTATTTAAGGCAATGAGTCTGTTTTTGGTATTTAATAAGATAAGCCCGGCCACTAATTCAAAAAGTACAGGGGCGAAAAGTTAAGCCCCGCTATAAAGTCCTTGCAAACACGTGACCTAAATCACGTGATACCTGCGTCCGCCGCCACATTGGTGTACACCGGACGTAAACACAATCAGCTGTTCACCATCGCTGGACGCGTTCACTGTATGTAAAGAACCGCACCCGCGGAAAAGGAAAAATACGTTAAAAAACTTGAACTCTTAGGAATTGAAGATCATTATACTGTTATTGACAGTTTTATGGATAATATAAATATGTGGCCGAAATTTCTAAATAAAAATACTGTTAGTAATACTGTTTGCGTTTAGAGTTTAAGTAGACGAATCTGATCAAATGCAGTAATATATTATAGGTTATCTAGATCTAATTAATGTAGATTCTAGATTCTCCGTTAAGTACAAGATTTAGTAGCAATAGATCTAGTACAACCACACTACTGTAGCAAACGTTAGACCACTTAACTCCTACAAAACCCACACTACAACGGCTAATATAATTCACGGGTAATAACCAATCTCAGCCAATCTGGGTAGCATGTTATACAATTTAAGACCCTTATAATCTAGCAGGGAAGTGATCAGACACATTAATACTGATGTTCAACCCTCATGATGGCCAGCCCCCACCTTTTTTCTAACCCACAATAAACCTAAGAGGAGCCAGTACCACTGCCCTTCACTGAACATTTCTCACCTCCGTGATACCCAGCCCCACAGAGATAGTATCTCTAATATAATTTTGACCCTCAGGGCCCAGCAGGGAGAACAAAGGGGAAAGTCCCACTGCTCTCCCCTCAACATTTCTCACCTCGATGTAATGTTATGTCATTTATAGCACACACGGCCTATTACGGGGAAGCTACACACTAGTATACTAGCTACACACTAGGTGCCTACTGTAAACTACTAGACTGTAGGCCCTATGTAGACCTGCAATTGTATCAATTGTAGACTGGGTCCATTGTTATAGGGCCTTAGTAATTTATTAAAGCCTTGTACTACAATAATATCAACTACATGCTGTATAAACTTTTTACAATTTAATTTAAGTAGCAGATTCTAGATCTAAGTCTAGTCATACAATTTATTTCAATTTCAGAAAATTTCGTTTGCTAAAAAATGATTAGATTATAGAGCGAGCTTTTAGATCTTAGAGACACTTAAATGCTTTATTAGGCCTATTATGACTACTTTTGATTTATTATGGGTGTATTTTGAATCGAATGTAGATCTAAATTTTGTAATTAAATTTAAGTAAATAAGTAGATTCTAGATTCTATGTCTACCCAGCCGAGCCAGTCACCCTAAATCCAGAATCTAGATCTGTGGTCCGAATTTTGTTTACGCCATGTTTAGAGCTAGATTCTAGATCAAGAAATTAAAACACTATTATTAGACCTACTATTAAATCTTATTATTCTTATTATTACTTTTGACTTTGTCTTTTACTATTAGTATTTGTGAAGGTCGGGCATATTTGTTTTATTAATAGTTATCTTTTTATAGGTAATTAAAATTAAGGTTATTATTTTACTGTCCTTACCTGAAACAAAGTGTCGTGAACAGATTCGCATCTTATTTCCCCGCTGCTTCACTCACACCGCTGCAATCAATATTGGCTAAAAATTGACGGCGTCTACGTTCTGTTAACTGTCGATCTCTATCATCTTGGTTTAATATAACCCTTGACAGTCGAAATAAAGGAATCCCTTTAGATCTGCCAGGTCGAGTATCACAACCTTTCACCGCACAGACCACCATTTTGAATGTAGATCTGTACACCGAGATGGCGGATGTTTACATTCACGAACGGACGTGACGTCATATGAAAGGACTCTATTAGTTGACCTATTGCTGTGGCTAGACATTTGAATATCTAAACGCCGGCCATAAAATAAATTCTTATTCGCCACTAGGGTTAGGATTGGGGTTAAGGAAAGGGTTGAGTTAGTGTAAGGGTTAAGGTTAGAGTAAGGGTTAGAGTTTGAGTTAAAATTAGAGTTTGGTTTGAGTATGGTGTTGGGGTTAGGTTAGTGCTAGTGTAAGGGTTATGATTATGGTTATTGATTGGGATTGGGGTTAGGTTAGGGTAAGTGTTAGAGTTTAAGTTAGAATTAGGGTTTGGTTTGAGCTTGGTGTTGGGGTTAGGCTAGTGTTAGTGTAAGGGTTATGATTATGGTTATCGGTTGGGGCTATGGTTAGGTTAGGGTAAGTGATAGAGTTAGTACGATGTCCAATCAGCGGATTCGAGGTACTAAGATAGCAGCGGAAGAATTCGGGAAGCCAAATTAGTAACAAAAACATCAAATAATTAAAAGATATGTAAAAAAAACAACAACACACAAATTTCAGTTAAAATGAGTAATGAAATTCCAAGACATATTATAAAAACGCTAAATAAATCTAAACTGAGCAGTTTCCCGGGAAATATCGTCTTACGTGACAGAACAACAAAGCCAATTTTATGCAAGAATGATTGCAAACACACTAAAATCGAATGAATCGGCAACGTTCATATTTTATTATACTCTGATCAGATTTTGTCCAACATGTCCAGTTTGAAACAAATTGGCCCGGTAGAAGTGGATGAAATTTCGTTCGCATGTTCCCGTTCATGATGGACGAAGAATCAAGGTTAAATAAAAGCTTGCAGTAAAGTGTAAAGTATCAAGTATTGAGCACCCATGAGGAATTCAAAAAAATATGCCGAGGCTGTAACATTTTTATAATCTCAACACCACACACATTTTATGACTTTAATAGCATATAGATCAATCTTTGTTATGTTTGTTTCAATACTCTAGAGTCTAGAAGACAACCGGATGATGTCGCTTTGTGTACAAATATTTCTACTTCCTTTATTCACTTAGTTAGGCTATGGCGTTACCGTGTATGTAATAAACATCAATAATTGTATTTATAAAATAAATTTCTTAGTAGACACAGATCAATATATATAGAAAGTAAGTTTCATCACACTGTGTCTGAATCATTGTAATACAATTTATGTAAATATACAACTGAATATACAATGGACCCGAGCGAGAATAGTCTCAAAGGTATTCGCGAGGCCGTGAAATATTTTTTTAAATCATGCGCACTATAATTAAAATTAATATGGGTGAATATGTCGTGAATTTTTGGCGTAAATTTCACTATACATAATGTAAACAAAAGGTTTTTAAAAAATGGTAGAACTAGGTGCAGTGGTTTGAAATTGCATTTTATTATTTAATACTGTAACGGACACCTATCTACCAGCCAGATAGATGGTGAACGCCCCCGGATTCTTTCTTGGGGTTATATGCAAATGACCTAAAGCTTAAATGAATGAACACTAACTCAACAACACACTAGGGCTCGATTTCGAGGTCTAGGGAAAACTAGTGAAACTATTGAAGTTAACAACTCATTCAATCTGCATACAACCTTTAATAAGCGACCACAGTTGTGGCAGAACACAAGGTTAAACAAGATAAAATATTTAGTTTAGAAAATAACAAAACCCAACTTACAAAGCGTAAGAAAAAAATACTATCACAGATTCTAACACTGTATAAAAATAGCCACAGGTCACATTACACTGCTATAGCATCAAGAATCACTTGGCCACAAGTAATATAATACTAGGATACTTAAACAACTTAAGAATGCATAGCACGCTCAGGACTTAAGCTCTCTCACGTTCAAATGGTCAGAATGAATTGCCGGTCAAAATGGACGGCCTGGTCAAGATGGACTACCTCGTGCTGCCTGTGTGCGATCCAGTTATAGACTTAGGCAACAGGGGAGGTTACCCTCAACTCATGTGGCCAGTGGTTGGGGTGGTCATCTGGTCTGAATCAATCAATCAGATCTTGATGGAAAATTTCTGAGTCTTAGACTCTCTTAGTAAGACAGTGGAAAAAAACCCGGTTGTTGCACCATCAACCATATATGGTATTATAACAATGTCAAAATAAAACATTACTAGACCTAAGTAGGTCACAATACTTTATCAGCAAAGTTTTGTAAACAAATAAATATCGATCAATGTTTGTCTAATGAAAGTGAAAAATACGGTTATAACATAGGCTTGATGAAAATGAATAGAAATATAGCCTTAAACTGAAATAATTTTCAAATTCTCTGGATTTGCAACTTTTATAACATTGATTCTAAAAATAGTAAATTTCTGAATTATTGTTAGGCATAAGTTTTATATTTTTCATTATTTTTACGGCCGTCATGAAGTCAAAATATAAAAACATTACGAATTTGATCCATGTCAACAATATGATAGGAGGATTCTCCTCAACTCGGTGGCCTCCATTAAAATAACTTTTCGATTTCATAGACCCGGATTAAGTTTTGGATAAGGGCCATCCTAAGGGTTGGGTTTAAGATCACACACATTCTCTCTCTCTCTCTCTCTCTCTCTCTCTCTCTCTCTCTATATATATATATATATATATATATATATATATATATATATATATATATATATATATACACACATATATATATATGTGTATATATAAAGGTCCGCGCACCATATATATATATATATATATATATATATATATATATATATATATATATATATATATATATATATATATATATATGGTGCGCGGACCTTTGACCACAGGTGCTCTGACCATAGGGGGTTTGACCATAGGGGGTTTGACCAACGGAGCTTTGACCATAGGGGCTTTGACCATAGGGGGTTTGATCATAGGGGGTTTGACCACAGCGGGCCTTTGACCATAGCGGTGCTTTGACCATAGGGGGTTTGATCATAGGGGGTTTGACCACATGTGTTTTCTCAGCAGAGGGTCTTTGATCACAGGTGGTCTACCAACTGGTGTTTGATCACAAGCGCTGTGTCCGGCTTTGATCATAGGTGTGATACAATAAACACGATTTTATACATGTTCCTGAGAGTACGTTAATCTATCTATATACTACTAAAAGTCAAGTTTGTTTACATGTTTGAATATTTATTTTTTTGTTTGTTTTTTTGTTTGTTTGTTTGTTTGCCTGATCGACTATTGTGATATGTTTGACTCTATCTGGAGAGCTGTAAAATAGTATGTAGGTAGAGAATAATTTTTGTTTTAAGACAGACTGTTAATCACACATTTATTTAAAGACGTTAATTAATTTATTGATTTATTCATAGGTAAATTAACCGTATTTTTTTAAAAATGTTAATACATTGAATAAACTTTGTGGGGATAGTGACGTCCCTTGATGTGTTTACTTTTTGATACAGTAAAATGGCGGACTCCATCATAGACTTTGTGGCCCATTCAAAAGTTTAACGCGTTACAAAGCTAATTTTCTGCCGGCTATAACTTTAACAATACGTCCGTTTGCTGTATTTATTACGTTCAAACACTTATATCAATTTTCAACTGCCTTTTTATTTAGTTTTACAATAAATTTCTCTAGATCTAAAGATCAGCTGTCGAAGGAAAGTTATTTATAGATCTAATCTAGATCTAGAATCTAGGTCAAATCATAGATTTATTAGTTATAAATACAATCCAAAAAAACGAGACTTAAGCAAACCAGTCGTAGATCTAGAATATAGATAATTCTATCTAGATTTAGATAATAATGAGTTTCTATATACTAAAATATTTTAGACCTTTATTGTTTTGTATAAATCTTTGTTTTGACTAGGCCCCTATGCAAATTTTGAAGTGCCGGAGTCAGGGCCTAGATCTATTTGCGTAGCTTAAGATTCATACGCGGCTTCTATACCGCTAAGTGTGCAAAATTATAGACGTAAACTCTAGATATAGCTCAGTCGTATATCTAAAATATAGATAATTCTATCTAGATTTAGATAATAATGATTTTCTATATACTAAACTATTTTAGACCTTTATTATTTTATATAAATGTTTGTTTGGAATATGGTAATTTTGAAATGCTCGCTCCGGGCCTATTAGCGTAGCTAATGATTAGATTCAGATAAGTTTAACTTGGTTTTAAAAAATATTTGAAGTAGGCCCATAACTTACGATATAGCACGAGCAACTGATAATATCGGTGACGTCAGTTTATTTTGTTGTATCCAAATGATGTAGGTATTTCCTTGTGCTTAGATTTATATGGTAAAAAAAGCTAGAAAAAAATCGTAGGCGGCGGCTATAATACAAAATTTCTATGCAACAATAGAAAATATGTTTGCGGCGGCAGCGGATCCGGGCACGGCGATCTTCAAAGACTGTAAATCAGGCGGCCTCGGCGTTCCACACAAAAGACAGAAGTTGATCTATCGTCGGCGGTATTTCCGTCGGTTTCGAACAAGGTGGTATTCTAAGTCGACACAAAAGATGGGGGGAGTTGACAAATCATCAGTATGTCTAGCGACGGAAAAATCGGAAGTTTTAACAATGTAAACGAAACGTCTTTGAAGTCTGGACCAAATACCACTGAAAATCGGGTGCGGTAAATTTTTCGCAGAAATCTTCGCATTTCAACACCACCCAGCGTAAGTATCGGATTGTGGTAAAATGCGAGACAAAAAAGTCACGTGACCGACCGTTTTCGCGCCCTTCTCGCATTTTCCCGCCTCGCCATTTAGCTTTTCGCGTCTCGCAATTTCCCAACACCCTGATTAGATCTAGATCTAGCAAGAAAAACTTAACTTAAGACTTAAGAAAACGAGTCGTAGAATCTAGATCTAGATAATTCTATCTAGATCTAGATAATTTCAAACCTTCTTTATTTTATATAAATCTTTGTTTGGCTAATTTAAGATAAAATTTAATTTGAAAGTTAATACTACTAGACTTAGATCTAGATCTATGCGCGTAAATAAAGTTGCATAAGTATAGTATAAAAATTCACTTGAGACGTCACGAGTAAAAAGCTATGTTGGTAGAGTAGCCGTCTCTCATGCAAGTGGCACGGGTTCTAGACCAATGTCCATGATACTTTTGTTTTCAATTTTTTTTTTAGATGTGAATGATAAAGTTGCCTATCTGAACTTGGCAGGATACAGGGCAGGTGAAGTAGAGTTCATCTGTTTCTTTGTCATAAGCATATGAAAGGATAGTGTGGTCAGAGACATGCTCGGCTGGAATCGTTTTTTAAACGATAAAAACATGTTGTCTGAGACTTGGCGGGACACTGGGCAGGTGAAGTAGAGTTGAGTAGGTCACATGTGACGTCAGTATAGGAAGGGATAGTCCGAAATCGGTGTTTTCGGTGTTTTTAAAAGATAAGAAACATATTTTTGAATGTGGGGTCTGTTTTTTTGTGACGATAAGTGACACTGCAGTAGCGTAGCGAGGAGGGGGGGGGCGGGAGGGGAGGCGGGGGGGGGGGGGTGGCGGGGGGAGGTGGAGTGGGGGCGGGGGGGACATATGTTGGGGCGCCAAAATGGTTTGGAAAAATAAATTGAAAGGTTGAGGGGGGTTCAAATCGAAAGTTTGAGTGGGGGGGGGTGCACATCAAAAGTTTGAGGGAGGGGGGGGGGGGTGAAAATCGAAATGTTTGGGGGGGGGGGAAGGGTCGCTATGCCTCTGAGTGACAGACGTGATGTTTTTTGATGGATGACCCCCGAAACCCACAGTTATCCAACGGATGACGGGTATTCTAGTATACTACTAAAAGTCAAGTTTGTTTACATGTTTGAATATTTATTTTTTTGTTTGCCTGATTGACTATTGCTCATGGTTGCACTCATCGTGGAAAGCTGTAAAATAGTATGTAGGTAGAGAAAATTTTTTGTTTTAAGACAGACTGTTAATCACAAATTTATTTAAAGACGTTAATTAATTTATTGATTTATTCATACGCAGAGTAACCCATTTTTTTTAAAAAGATTAAAACGACCACTACACTCGGCGGGACCGTGACGTCACAGGTTTTTGTTTACTCTTTAGTACAATAAAATGGCGGCGTCTATCGAAGAAAATTGTGTTCCCATTCACAAGTTTAACGCGTTCTAAATCTAATTTTCTGTGGGTCATAACTTTAACAATACGTCCGTTTGCTGTATTTATTACGTTCCAACACTTATATCAATTTTCAACTGCCTTTTTCATTTAGTTTTACGATAAATTTCTAAAGATCTAAAATCTGTCCAAGAAAGTTATTTATTGATCTAGAATCTAGATCTAGGTCAAATCAAAGATTTAATAGTTATAAATAAATACAATCCAAAAAAAAAACGAGACTTAAGCAAACCAGTCGTAGATCTAGAATATAGATAATTCTATCTAGATTTAGATCTAGATAATAACTAGATAATAATGAGTTTCTATATACTAAACTATTTTAAACCTTTATTATTTTATATAAATCTTTGTTTGGAATATGGTAATTTTGAAATGCTCGCTCCGGGCTTATGAGCGTAGCTAATGATTAGATCTAAATCTAGATTCTAGATCTAGCAAGAAAAACTAAACTTAAGACTTAAGCAAACCAGTCGTAGATCTAGAATATAGATAATTCTATCGAGATTTAGATAATAATGAGTTTCTATATACTAAAATATTTTAGACCTTTATTGTTTGGTATAAATCTTTGTTTTGACTAGGCCCCTATGCAAATTTTGAAATGCTGGAGTCAGGGCCTAGATCTATTTGCGTAGCTTAAGATTCATACGCGGCTTCTATACCGCTAAGTGTGCAAAATTATAGACGTAAACTCTAGATATAGCTCAGTCGTATATCTAAAATATAGATAATTCTATCTAGATTTAGATAATAATGAGTTTCTATATACTAAACTATTTTAGACCTTTATTATTTTATATAAATGTTTGTTTGGAATATGGTAATTTTGAAATGCTCGCTTTGGGCCTATTAGCGTAGCTAATGATTAGATCTAAAGAAAAACTTAACTTAAGACTTAAGAAAACGAGTCGTAGAATCTAGATCTAGATAATTCTATCTAGATCTAGATAATTTCAAACCTTCTTTATTTTATATAAATCTTTGTTTGGCTAATTTAAGATAAAATTTAATTTGAAAGTTAATACTACTAGACTTAGATCTAGATCTATGCGCGTAAATAAAGTTGCATAAGTATAGTATAAAAATTCACATGTGACGTCACGAGTAAATAGCTATGTTGGTAGAGAAGCCATCTCTCATGCAAGTGGCACGGGTTCTAGACCAATATGTCGATGAAATTTTTTTTTTCAATTTTTTTTTTTTTTAGATGTGAATGATAAAGTTGCCTATCTGAACTTGGCAAGATACAGGGCAGGTGAAGTAGAGTTCATCTGTTTCTTTGTCCTAAGCATATGAAAGGATAGTGTGGTCAGAGACATGCTCGGCTGGAATCGTTTTTTAAACGATAAATACATGTTGTCTGAGACTTGGCGGGACACTGGGCAGGTGAAGTAGAGTTGAGTAGGTCACATGTGACGTCAGTATATGAAGGGATAGTCCGAAATCGGTGTTTTCGGTGTTTTTAAAAGATAAAAAACATATTTTTGAATATGGGGTCTGTTTTTTGTGACGATAAGTGACACTGCAGTAGCGTAGCGAGGAGGGGGGGGGGGGACGGTAGGGGAGGGGGGGAGGGGAGGCGGGGGGGGGGGGGGAAGGGGAGGCGGGGGGAGGTGGATGGGGGAAGGGGGGGCGGGGGGGGGGACATATGTTGGGGCGCCAAAATGGTTTGGAAAAATAAATTGAAAGGTTGAGAGGGGTTCAAATCGAAAGTTTGAGTGGGGGGGGGTGCACATCAAAAGTTTGAGGGGGGGGGGGGTTTCAAATCGAAATCTTGCGGGGGGGGGGGGGGGGTTCAAATCGAAAACTTTGTCCCCGGGCGCCGGGAAGGGTCGCTCTGCCTCTGAGTGACAGACGTGATGTTTTTTGATTGATGACCCCCGAAACCCACAGTTATCCAACGGATGACGGGTATTCAAGTAGAAATTAACATGTATTTAAAAAAAGACAAGAACTATATTTTAGGCTCCACATAAAGGCTGGTGCTAGGCCTCATAGATTTATTTTAAATATAAATGAAACACAAATAATGCGACATACAACAAGTTTCACAAATAAATAATGTAGAAGTACTTAAAAATACATAGCATATATAAAGGATAAAAGGATAAAAAATGATACAAAACTTGCCAACAATATAGTCAAAGATGTAATACATAAAATGGTTAACTAAATGACAGATGTGCTATAGCACGCAAATATGTCAGTACATCTGTTTGACCATATGTCTGGACAGCACGTTGTACTTTCTCGTGCAACATCTTGTATCGCTTCTCAGCTGCGTAGCTTGCCCCTTCAACACCTTGCAAGAAAGTTGTCTTTTTCCGTGTGCAGTCCATCTGTAGACCTTCAAGGAAACGCCACATTTTTGGGTGACTTCATTGGAGGAGAGACTGAAGACTGTAATGCCATCCTTCATAAATGTTATTTGTTCGTGCTACACCATCGCCAATCGTGTGCATTTGATTCCAAGTTTCAACTGGAAACAAAGCAAGCTTGTACTTTTCGCCACGACCACGGATGCTACGACCTCGGACAAAGCGCTTGTGATCAAACACCAGTTGATAGAACACCTGTGATTAAAGACCCTCTGCTGAGAAAACACATGTGGTCAAACCCCCTATGGTCAAACCCCCTATGATCAAACCTCCTATGGTCAAAGCACCGCTATGGTCAAAGCCCCGCTGTGGTGAAACCCCCTATGGTCAAAGCCCCTATGGTCAAAGCTCCGCTGTGGTCAAACCCCCTATGGACAAACCCCCTATGGTCAAAGCACCTGTGGTCAAAGGTCCTAGAACCATATATATATATATATACATATATATATATATATATATATATATATATATATATATATATATATATATATATATATATATATATATATATATATCATTGGAATTTTCAATGCTGAAAGCACAAGGATCAGAAGAATCAAAGAAAATATATTTAATGTCGAACTATAGCATTATGTAATTGAAATATAGAAGTGCAACCATATAAGTGTCGAAGTACGTATATTTAAAGTATTAATGTACAGGAATTAAAAGTATTGCAGAAGAGGTAACTAAGTAGAGGTAGAACCAAATGAAAAGTCGAGAAGCTCTGCTGGAGACGACATTATGTTTTCAATGGGTTTTTTTTTACTGACGGCCAAAAGCAAACAACTGATAACGAAATTATTTTCAAATTTCAGCATCGTTTTTCCAACCCAGCAATAGAACAAGTCACTTGTCGGAGTTTGAAAAATGCTATTTGCTACTTGGATTCTGAGTGTGTTTTTTATCGTTAAAGGTAAATTATGGTATCTATAATATATTTTCTGTTATGATTATAATACACTGATATTTATTTCATAAAAAATTTAATGTATATATATTCATACCCAAAGAAAATATGAAAACTTAAAAAAAAAAGTTTTTTTCAGTGATTTAGTATTATACTATACAGAGTCTAATTTAAAGCTATGAATAATTATATTAAAATTGCAAAAGATTTATAGTTAAATATTTATTCTCCATTGCGCTATGTAGATTCGTATATAACTCGACACAGTTGTGCTAAAGAGAATAAAACAAATATAAAAGCAATAATATAAATAATAAGCTTTTAAACGCACTGTTAGTATACGACATGTTCGACTTACTTGCCATTTGTCTGTTAATATATAACACGTTTAATTTCACCCAACACAAATGTTAGCATTTGACATGTTTCACTTTATCCTCATACATATTTTAGCATATGACATGTCCAGTTTAACTCTATACATCATTTACAAGTACTTTTTCTCTGTTTAAATTGCGTGTCATTTTTTGTAATGTTCGTCTTAAGAAAGCAATACTGATGAGAACTCTCGTGAATTTCAAAGAGCAAATGGAATCAACGCTACAATAGATGGCTACCTACCCCGGTGTCCAGGGTGTGTGGTGTTTGGGAGGGATCCACTGATAGTCTATGGCAAGTTTCATCTACCAAAGGACATGTGGCACATAATGACACAAGATCCCCCGCCCCTACAAACTGAACCAATTTTTTTTGTCTTATTTTGCGATTCCGGCTGCGAAGACTATGAAAATAGGAGTAAATGGTCTGGGGTAATTAATACATTTTCTCTAATTATGAAAAATATTATATTTAAAAAAAAAAACGTATTACTTATTAAGTATCGCAGACAGAGTATATTTGGAAATGTCCCAGAAAATAAAATTTTAATGATTTTAGGAGCATATAACCTCGGATAAAATTTCTACACACTATGATATTCGAGGACAAGTTGAAGATATGTATCTAAGAACAAGTTATTTTTTAGTTAAATACATGTTTATTAGTTTGTACAAGAAACCTTGCTGCACTTAGTGATTATAACTTTTTATCTCGTTGCCATTCGTTGGTTTTTTTCTAAAAGATCAATATGGGATCTATACATTAATCTCGATTTAGCAATGAAATGGAGCTAGAGTCCCCACCTCCCCCCCCCCCTCCCCCACCCCCTGACAGCTTTTACGGAAATTTGTTTCAGTGTTTCCTCCAGACTTTTTACAACGGGTGGAAGGGAGAGCACTTAAAAAAATTGTTGGGGGTGGGAATAAAAATTTCCGGGGGCTGGACACTGTTAAAAGTATATATTTTGTATATAAATTTCATTTCGTTTGGGTGGGGGTGGGTGATAGACTTTCTCCGGGTGGGGGGAGGGGGGTGGGGATTACGGGACTTAGCCCCCCGAATATATGCCTGGAAGAATCTCTGGTTGTTTTACTCGGGCGCCTTACAACACTCTCCTTTCAAATTCCTTTTATTTATTTTTTTAAAATGAAATATGATGCCATGGTTGTTAAAGTATAAATATTTTTTAGATGTCGACCCTAGTTTTTAAAATAAAATAATTGCCCTTCATTAAAGCACTGAACTTTTTCTTGTATTATCTTTTCTATAGTATTGCAGGTTTGGAAAGCCTTTCTTCAGACAAGACGGCTGCAAATTAAGTGAAACAGAACCAAAATTCTCCATGGCCGATTGCTACTGTGATGACACTGAACCGATGCTCTGGTTTGCTGTGATACAACCAAATTATTTTAATAAGACTAATATGGTAATCCGTGTTGTTTGGGATGAAGAAATTGGGTCAAGATGGTTTCCACTCCAGACTTATAACACTATTTATCTGAAGGATATTTTTGGTAAGTTTGCTAAATATATTATATAAAAAATTTATAACAAACAGTTATTTAACTATACAATAAACAAAAAGGAAATAAATGTTTTTTATATGAAATAATGCATTACTATTTAAATTATAATAATTATAAAGTAAAGCTTAGCTTATGCCATTTAAGTTAAGGTATTCAGTTGATAATATATTCGCCCCCGCTTTTCTTTATAGTTATTTAAAGACTACTGTGTTTTCTATCTTCTATGTCGATACCCTCTGTTAATTTAATAGTTAATAAACCCTCCAGCTTCCTAAGAAACAACACCAATGAATAAATTATTCAAATGTTCAGTTTTAACATGTATCAAAATTAGACGTTTTGAATTCGTTAAATAAAAGCAATTTTAAGTTATATAAAGCACATGCAAATAAAATAGGCCTATTCATATTACTTTCCTAAATCGTTATCAGTAGTCACAAGCCGATGAAGAATACTTCAATATGAAAGCGAACAAGCAGATGAATTATGCAAATTACATAAATGATGCATTTTAGAAAAAAAATAATAGTGTAAATGACCAAGCTTAATCGTATGTGCAAAAATGAAATAGGCAAAATAAAACAAAATTCCTTACATATTCTTTTATACCTAAATTTATTATTGCTTTAACCCGCTAAAAGTCGCAAAAACAAATTTTCAACAACTTCCCAAACATTCTTGGCGATCGAGTGAAGGTGTAATAAAGAATAAAAGACAGACACACACACATTGCTTTATGTATATATATATATATATATATATATATATATATATATATATATATATATATATATATATATATATATATATATATATACAATCACGTAGGATAGGTAAAGAAGAGGGGAGGGAAGAGATGTAAAATTCCGATTACTTATTTTGGTAGTAGCACCAAAACAAAAGTCGGGAATCTAATTAGCCCAAATCACCGAGAGCAGGAATTACATATTACATGTAGCATTTTAATTAAAGTTATTTAGGCAGGAAATGTAGCTTGTTCTTATGAATTTCGTGAAAATATTTTCGGTACGAGAAAAATGGCCCGTTGAGAAAGGATACAACGGGCGCTAGGTAGATAGTGCTGTCTATTTTCTCTAAACTAAAACCAAAACCAAAATTACCACCTTAATTCAATTTAACCAGAATCGAAAAAATGACATTGAAAACGGATTTTTATCCAGAATCGGTACTTTAATTAATACAAAATATAGTCATAGGCGTATCCCTAAACCATGCACCTAATCTCATTCATGACAAAAGTCGCATTTAGAGTTTCTTTCAGGCAACTCTACTTGGGAGGAGGGGGCTTGGCCCCCCCCCCCCCTTCCCCCCCCCCCCCCCCCCCACACACACCAAAACATGTCTACCGTCCCATTCAACGAAATATAATTATATACTTTTTCCAGTGTCCGCCCCCTCCCAGAAAATTCTACCCCCGCCACCGAAAATTTCAAGTACCCCCACCTCTCTCCGGGGAGGAAAAAGTCTGAAAGAAAAACTGATCGCATTTGTAGATCATACAAACTAAAGGGAGAATCTGGGCGGGGCTTCGTTCTACCGGAAGAGATGCTTGAAAAAAAAACTGCACGCTAAACACTTTTTAGATTAGAAAAAGTGTCGCGCTTAGCCGCTACCCGAAGAATTGCATTAAAGAAATTGCAAGAAAACCACTTTTTAGATTAGATACATGAATTAGGCGGTAATTTTATTGTAGAGTATCGATGAAGAAATTTCTTTTAAGTTGGGGAGGGGGGGGGGGGCTCAGACGTTCTTACGCTGGGGTGGGGCTTCGCCCCTACCCGAAGAATTGTATGAAAGAAACTCTTCACGCAAACCACTTAGATTAGACAAAATTGCCTTTTTATTCAATGTTTACTCGAGAATCAATGACGTCATATTACTGTGTGAACTCTCCGGCTTGAGATTATTTTCTACTCTATGCTAAATGTGACGACGTCATATTTCGTTTTTCGAATTACTGTGCATGTTTTTAATTTGCTTGTGTTTTCTCTGGAGCGTTCTTGTCAGATACACAGACACAGAGGCGTAGCGACCCCTCCTGGCGCCCGGGGACAAACTTTCGATTTGGAGCCTCCCCCCCCCCCCCTATATTTTGTGTATTTATAATTCAAAATAACAGCTAAAATTAGCTTATTTTGGCGCCCCTAGGGTCAGCGCCCGGGGACATATGTACCCCCCTGCCCCCCGGTCGCTACGCCTCTGCACAGACAGCGAAACTATTAGTATTAATACTTCCGATTAGCTCCGGTTAATGTGCTATCACTAGTGCAAAAAAAAAAACTTTATTAGAACTTAAAAAAATTAGTTGAATCATTTGGACATGACAGTCCAAAACTGAAAGATGGAGTGACGTTCACCTGGTTCTGTGACCTTGTTAGCGTAGCCTGGATACACACAGATGCTCTAAAGACCAAAACGGCAAAATTTAAAAAATTTCCCTCCAAAAAATGACCCATCACAACACCCCAGACATAACGTGGGAGTAAAATATTGTCTTAATACAGATCGTGGCCATATTGTTATGTCTCAACAAAGATCTACGAACAGATCCAAGTCCTGGACGTCGGGTAAGTTGTCTTTGTTGTTGATAATTATCTAAACTGTTCACACATAACACAACCAGCCTATAGACTGTAAGTAACTTCTAGATTAACGATCCCTACCAGCCTACAGACTGTTAGTACTTTCTGTATTAATACACACTAAAGACTGATCGTGGCTTCTACATTAATGATCCCTACCAGCCTAAAAACTGTTAGAACATTCTGTATTAATACACACTAAAGAGTGCTAGTGGCTGTTATATTAATAAACCGTACAAGCCTAAAGATCGTAATAGCTTCTACATTAATACACCATACCGCCAGAAAGACTGCTAATAGTAATAGCTTCATCATTAATACACCCTACCATCCTTAAGACTCATTAGAGTCTCTACATTAATAAACCACACCAGCCAACGTATAGAACAAACTTATATCTTGCCACCACTGGGATTGTTGAAGTGTAGTTTGTAGTTTGTAACACTGACATGTTTATGTAGAAATATCAACATGTTTTTACAGATCTTCTGCTGGAGTTGACCTCAGTTGTCCTGGCCTTTGGTACCGTGGCTTTCTTCATGTCTTAGGCTGAGATCCTGCTCATTGGTGTCCATTAGGGTGTGACCATTACAAATCTCGGAACCAGGCAACTCTATATCACCACCAGATAGAATGTAAAATGGCTCATGTTAGTGTTTCAATAAATTTTTTAATTCTAATTCATTAAAAGTCATAGTCAATTTTTCTACATCAGAACATTGTTGTTTAATAACTTACTACATAATTGTATAACTATAAATTTTTAAAGGCGGTGTATTTTGTTTTGAAAATAGGAATTATCTTTAGTTTATAACTAATTTTTACTTGTAGTTAGGTTTACATTAAAGTTTTTTTTAAGTTTACTATTTTAAACTATATATATATATATATATATATATATATATATATATATATATATATATATATATCTAATATATAAAGCTCAGTTCTGTAACGTGTGGCAAAAAAGTTTGTCGTTGACAGTTCTATGGATTTAAGTGTTAGATTTTTTATCGTGCTCACAGTCTAAATTTACGAGTCAAAAAATTACCATTGAAAGTCTTTAAAAACAATTTTCATTCTATTTACTTAGAAGAATAATTTTCAATTATGAACACGACATAAAAATTTTTAAAAGTGTATCGACGTTTATAAAATTTCTAAAATTGTGTCGGAAATGTATTGACTGCACAGTTACTTCCCTTTAATAAAAAAAAATTCTTAAGAAGAAAGAATTTACATTTTATTACTTTGTTTTTGGTGTTAAGAAAAAAAAATAATTACATAATTAGCGGGGATTGATTAAGTGCAATGTCGTTAGGTATTTTTAACACTGCCTTTTATTTATTCTATACACTGAACATACTGTTCAATAATTATTATTTTTTTTTATTTCAATAACATTTACTAAGCCAGGTCCTACAAATCATATATGTTTATTTCTTTCCATTTACGGATAAGCTTGGAGTATTATCATTTTTGTTCACTAAATTGAAGCAGGCGCGTCCGCCGGCGCCCCTGCACGGTTCGATTTGGCACCCTGGGCTATCATGTGAGCGCTATGCTGCATAATTTTGTTTTTAACAGTGCGATAGACTATGGATAAGAAAGGTTACTATAGTCTTTAAGTAAATCAAATCCGGGCGTCCTCCGGCACCCCGACAGGGTGCTATTTGGCACCCCGGGCCTTCCGGTGTACGCTATGGTATCTACGTTCGCGTGAGTTCAAAAGACTATGAATAAGTTATGCACTATAGTCGTTTACTAAGTTCAATCAGGCGGTGACGTCATGGTGCGTCCTCTGGCGCCCAGACAGGGTGCTTTTTGGGGTCCCGGGCCTCCCGTGTTCGGTTTCGCGCCTACGTTCATTAAAGTGAGTGCAAAAGACTATGAATAAGTTGGGGTACTATAGTCGTTTATTCAGTTGAAGCAGGCGATTCAGCCCCGTGAGCACTTTGCGTTTATATTCGCGTTAGTGTTTTCTTTGTGTTTAGGTTGGGTTTGCGTTAGTGGTTGCGTTTTGATTTGGTTCGTTTTTGTTCTTTCTTTTTTCGTTTTCGTTTGTGTTTTATTTTCTTTGGGTTTGTGTTTGTATTTGTGTTTGAGGTTGGTTTTGCGTTTGGATTTGGTTTGTTTTCGTTTGTTTTTTCTTTTGTGTTTTTTTCTTTGGGTTTGTGGTTGGTTTTGCGTTTGGATTTGGTTTGTTTTCGTTTGCTTTTTCGTTTGTGTTTTTTTTCTTTGGGTTTGTGTTTGTGGTTGGTTTTGCGTTTGGATTTGGTTTGTTTTCGTTTGCTTTTTTCTTTGTGTTCGTATTGGTGTTTGTGTTTGTGGTTGGTTTGTTGTTAGGTTTTTGTTTTCGTTTGTATTTGTAATTGTGTTAGCGTTATGTTTGCGTTTTGTTGTTTTGGTTTTGGTGGGCAATGCCGGCTTTATGATGATTACTAAACACACAGGTAATGGTCTTTAACAGAAAGGTTTTTCACAGAAGCCAGAGCAGGGCCTGGCCGGGACGGCTAGTATATATATATATATATATATATATATATATATAAACTAGGTTATATTTATTTGGAATTAAATATGTACATTTTAATAAAAATTGTCTTGCTTAAAGTTTCTTAAATTTCAAATTAAATATAATTTTGTTAAACGTAACTTACATACTTTGATTCCCATTTATTTACGTTGAAATTAACTTCAGTTTTTGCTAATTTAAACACGGAAATAAATCAGTTATCCGTATCTAAATTTTAGAGATAAAAAGTATAATTGTATTTCAACGGTACTAACAACATTTAATAAATAACATATTGGGGAAGTAGTTAATTTGTACCTCATAAGAAAATAAACTGGGAGTGATCTCCCCTAAACTTTCTCGAATCTATATATATAATTCTCTTCTGGGAGCCGTTAGAAAACAAGCTGCAAGGGCCTCCTTGCAGTCCCCTCTCTTTCTCTCTATCACTATCACTACCACCCCCACCCCACCCCCACATTGTCTGGTGAGCTGTGGTCACGCTGTTTACATTTTACAATCATAGAGACGGGTTTGGTGACGGCTATTAGGGGCAGATAATTTAGTTTGAAACGATTTTAAACTTAGAGGAGGTAACTAAGAGGAGGCTGCTTTCACGTGGGGGGGGGGGGGGGGGAGGGGTTTAGTGTTTTTAAGCAAATATTTTCAGTGGCAGCATTGGTACTGTCGAATTCACAAATTATAAATTACTGAAAAGTAGAAAAAACAACTAAATAGCGGCGTATGATACGCAGCGGGTCGGCTCGTATTCTTATATAATACTACTGGGGGTGGCAACTCGGATATAGAAATGATTTTTAATTACCTAATTTTTTTTCAAATAGAATAGAATCTCGTAGAAAAAAGAATTGCACACCAAGTGAACGCCAAAAAAATGTGCATTACAGTGTGGAATATTCTTAGTACTTTATAAACACACCCAGCCCCACCATTCTGGTAAGCTAAGGTTCACCCCGAATCTTTCTTCTTCTTCGTTCTTAATTTAGAATATGGTGGAGGATTTAGACAAGTCCAACTTCGTTAATGAACTGACTGTGGTCTCCAGATCAGTAGGTGCCCCATATAATTTTTCCCTGAGTGGGGTGAGCAGGGGCCAGTGTCTGACTCGCGCCTGGCTATATAAAGAACATTCCTGAAGGACGTGCTCCGTATTTTCCGTGGCCTTGCCACAAGGGCATATTTCGCCACACCCAATTTTTAATTTTTTATGCATGTGTTGATTTAGTCTGTTATGGCCTGTTCTGAGTCGAAAGATTATGTATTGTTGTTTTCGTGTAAAATTGTAATATCCATCATCTTTATTGTAGTGAGGGCCATCCCGAATGTTTACAATAGTAGAGCCGGGTCGAATTAATAACTTGGGGCAAGTACGCATTTAACGCTTCATGTTTTCACTAGGGAAAGAGCACGAAACTAATGACGTCATCTTCCGAGTTTAGAATAAAATAAAGAAATGAACTATTTCATTCAAATATGATAGATCTACGTACGCTATGATACCTAGATCTAGATCTATACAATACAATTTTCTCGACCTAAACTTATAACATTTACTTTATCTATTTAAATTCTAGATATCTAGATCTAGAGATTCTAGATCTAGACTAGATAATCTACACACAAAACTAGACTAGACTTAGACGCTAATACCTAGATCTAGATCTAGATTTAGACTCTAGAATCTATTCGCATAATAATTTCAGGCCTTAATTATTTTATAGAAATCTTTGTTTGTTTAGCTATGGAATTGGCTAATTTGGGATAAATAGCTGAGACGATAGTGTACTTAATATCACGCAGGTGGTGCGGGATCGAGACACACCAAGTTAATCAATTTTTTTTTTTTTTTTTTATATGTAAATCTTCCGATTTTAGACTATAAAGAAAGGAACTACTTCATTCAAATTTGATTTAGATCTAGATCTATAGATCTACTCATCAACACGTACGCTATGAAATATATACAATTTTATCGGACAAACTAATACAAATTACTTAAAAGCAACGTAATGACCATTGAATAGCCTGATTTTTAACTGAATCATTTAAGTCACTTAATCAGTGTGTGCCTGTGTTAAAGCAAAGAAATAACTAATTAGCTAAAAAAACATGTCACTAATACCGTTCAGCGTGTAGTAAAGCACATTGCGTTTTGACCAATAACTATTTCATAAATTATTTTTCACAAACAAGTACAGCATTTTAAAATATATAGGCCTATAATTCACGTGAAACGGGTACCGATGGCTAGTATAAGTATATTCGAGAAAGTTTAGGGGAGATCACTCTAGCGTTATTATTTATGTTACCTCTAATGATATATTAATGTGTAATTCTTATCAGATCTAACTTCAACACATATTAGTAATTTTTGTTAGAATACCTTTGACAAGCAGACCTTCTAGACGCATATGAATTTATAAATTATTAATATTCCGCACTATTATACACACATTGAATACCTTTGACAAGCAGACCATCTAGACGCATATGAATTTATAAATTATTAATATTCCGCACTATTATACACACATTGTTATACTGCTTTAACACAGGCACACACTGATTAAGTGACTTAAATGATTCATTATAGTACTTACTGATGAAGACACGGACAAAGGATATCTAAATTATTTAAGGCAACGAGTCTGTTTTTGGTATTTAATGAGATAAGCCCGGCCACTAATTCAAAAAGTACAGGGGCGAAAAGTTAAGCCCCGCTATTAGTGACCTATTGCTGTGGCTAGAAATTTGAATATCTAAACGCCAGCCATAAAATAAAGGGTTGAGTTAGTGTAAGGGTTAGAGTAAGCGTTAGAGTTTAAGTTAGAATTAGGGTTTGGTTTGAGTTTGGTGTTGGGGTTAGGTTAGTGTTAGTGTAAGTGTAAGGGTTATGATTATGGTTATCGGTTGGGGTTGGGGTTAGGTTAGGGTAAGTGTTTGAGTTTGAGTTAAAATTAGGGTTTGGTTTGAGTTTGGTGTTGGGGTAGGTTAGTGTTAGTGTAAGGGTTATGATTATGGTTATCGGTTGGGGTTGGGTTTAGGTTAGGGTAAGTGTTTGAGTTTGAGTTAAAATTAGGGTTTGGTTTGAGTTTGGTGTTGGGGTTAGGTTAATGTTAGTGTAAGGGTTATGATTATGGTTATCGGTTGGGGCTATGGTTAGGTTAGGGTAAGTGTTAGAGTTGGAGTTAGAATTAGGGTTATGGTTATGGGTTGGGGTTAGGTTAGGGTAAGTGTTAGGGTTAGTACGACGTCCAATCAGCGGATTCGAGGTACAAAGATAGCAGCGGAGGAATTTGGGACGCCAAATTAGTAAAAAAAACATCAAATCATTAAAAGATATGTAAAAATAAAAACACAAATTTCAGTTAAAATGAGTAATGAAATTGTAAGACGTCATAAAAACGCTAAATAAATCTAAACGGAGCAGTTTCCCGGGAAATATCGTCTTACGTGACAGAACAACAAAGCCAATTTTATACAAGAATGATTGCAAACACACTAAAATCGACTGAATCGGCAACGTTCATATCTTATTATACTATCATCAGGTTTTGACCAACGTGTCCAGTTTGAAACAAATTGGCCCGTTAGAAGTGGATAAAATTTCGTTCGCATGTTTCCGTTCATGATAGTAAAAATAAAAGCTTGCAGTAATGTGTAAAGTATCAAGTATTGAGGAACAATGAGTAATTCAAACAAATGCCGACGCAGTACGATTGTTATAATCTCAACACCATAACCATTTTATAAGCTCAACAGCATATATCTTTGTTATGTTTGTTTCAATACTCTAGAAGACAACCGGATGACGTCGCTTTGTGTACAAATATTTCTACTTCCTTTCTTTACTTTGACTTTGTGAGGCTATGGCGTTTTCGTGTATGTAATAAACATCAATAATCGTATTATGGTTTCAATGTTTTTTTACTAACGGCCCAAAAGCAAACAACTGATAACGAAATTATTTTCAAATTTCAGCATCGTTTTTCCAACCCAGAAATAGAACAAATCACCTATCGAAGTTTGAAAAATGCTATTTGCTACTTTGATTCTGAGTGTGTTTTTTATCGTTAGAGGTAAATTATGGTATCTGTAATATAGATCTATTTTCTGTTATGATTATGATAAACTGATATTTATATGATAAAACAAAGGAAATATGAAAACTTTTTTTTTTTAAAGTTTTTTTTTCAGTGTTGCAGTATTATGATATACAGTCTAATTTAAAGCTATGAATAATTATATTAACATTGCAAAAGATTTTAGTTAAATATTTATTCTCCATTGCGCTATGTAGATTTGTATATAACTCGACACAGTTGTGCTAAAGAGAATAAAACAAATATAAGAGCATTAAAAAATAATAAGCTTTTAAACGCACTGTTAGTACACGATATGTTCGACTTTATTTCCATTCGTCTGTTAACATATAATACGTTTAACTTTACCCAATACATATGTTAGCATTTGACATGTTTCACTTTATCCTCATACATATTTTAGCATATGACATGTCCAGTTTAACTCCATACATAATTTACAACTACTTTTTCTCTGTTTCAATTGCGTATCATTTTTAGCGCAATTTCCATACGGACAATTGCGATTATTAACTCGTCATTTCTGGATGGATGAATGAATGAATGGATGTGTGTCCGCAGCTTTAAGTCGTATCTCCTCCTCAACGAAGCAATATCGAGGACTAGTTCCAAAGCAAATATGTTAAGCAAGTTCCGAGGATGATTGTGGGCCAAAAAAATTCCCGGAAATTCCTTCCTGGATTTCCCGGAAAAGCCAAAAAAACCTCGAAAAAATGCATTTTTTTGCCCATATCTCGGCAACCAGACCACTTAGCGACTTGAAACATTTACCAATCGATTCCTGTCATAATTTAAAACAATATTGCCGAAGAAAGTTTTCAAAAATATCCTTTCGTTTGGTCACAAAAAATTAATTAAGAATTTTTAAACTGAGCATCGTGTAGGCCTAGGATGATATTTTAAATTTAAACTGAGCATCGTGTAGGTTTTTAGCGCAAAAAAAATATCCTTTCGTTCGGTCACAAAAAAATTAAAAATTGTTATGGATAACATAAGGAAATTGTCACTAGACTTTTTATTAACTTGTTTTTCTATGTCTGTCTTAAGAAAGCGAAACCGATCAGAACTCTCTTGAATTTCAAAGAGCAAATGGAATCAACGCTACAATAGATGGCTACCTACCCCGGTGTCCAGGGTGTGTGGTGTTTGGGAGGGATCCACTGATCGTCTATGGCAAGTTTCATCTACCAAGGGACAAGTGGCACCTACTGACGCGAGATCGCACACGACCTGAACCAATTTTTTTGGTCTCACTTTGCGATTACGGCTGCGAAAACTATGCCGATAGGGATTTATGGTATCAGGTAATTAGTACATTTTCTCTAATTATGAAAAATAATATATTTTTAAAAAAAACGTATTACTTATTAAGTATCGCAGACAGAGTATATTTGGAAATGTCCCAGAAAATAAAATTTAAATTATTTTAGGAGCATATAACCTCGGATGAAATTTCTACACACTATGATATTCGAGGACAAGTTGAAGATATGTATCTAAGAACAAGTTATTTTTGAGCTAAATACTTGTTTATTAGTTTGTACAAGAAACCTTGCTGCACTTACTGATTATAACTTTTTATCTCGTTGCCATTCGTTGGTTTTTTCTAAAAGATCAATATGGGATCTATACATTAATCTCGATTTAGCAATTGAATGGAGCTGGAGTTGCCACCTCCCCCCCCCCTCCCCACCTAACAGCATTTACGGAAATTTGTTTTCAGTGTTTTCTCCAGAAGGGGGGCACTTAAAAAAAAATTTGGGGATGGGAATAAAAATTTCGGGGGGGGGGGGGGGGGGCTGAACACTGTTATAAGTAGGTATTTTGTATATAAATTTCATTTCGTCTGGGTAGACGGGGGGGGGGGGGGGTAGACAGAGCCGGCGTTAGGAATACGCGGGGCCTAGGGCCAACCATCCGCGCGGGGCCTTTCCATATATATATATATATATATATTATATATATATATATATATATATATATATATATATATATATATATATATATATATATATATGTTCGTAGTTTTTTTTTTCCTTTGCTAAGATATTAAATCACATTTAACAGTTATGTAATTCATACCAAATCACTTAAGAAAATTTAATCACGTGCCGAATAATTAGGAAAATAAAGTTTACAATACAGTGAACTCGGCCTGATGTATCAAAACAGTATAGACTTCAAAATTTGTTTAGAATTCATACAATATTTTAAAACCAAAAACATTATTGTCTTAATTATTGAACGGGTGAATCCTTAAGGTGACACAACATAACAACAGTTTTAACTTTCTTCCAAAAAATAATAATAAATCACTCTGTTTAATGCCGCCTGATATAGATCCTAAGCCCCCCCCCCCTCCTCGTCGCCCTCCTCCCACCCCTCTGCACGCAACTGAATGTTAATTTTGTTACACCAAGACAAGTAGGCCTACATATAGAGTTTCTTCCAGCCCCCCCCCCCCCCCGAAAACGAAATGAAATTTATATAATTTATAGAGAAAATATATACTTTTTAACAGTGTCCGCCCCCCCCCCCCGAAGAAAGTCTACCACCCCCCCCCCCCCGAAAATTTCAAGTGTCCCTCCCCCCCCCCCCCCCCCCCGGAGAAAAAAGTCTGGAAGAAACACTGTACATATACGACATTATACGACATCTACAACAAGAAAGTCAGGACTAGAGTTCATCAGGTCACTAACTGTCTACTATAGACATCCCGTCTGCTCACTAAAAGGACGTCTTCATCGGTCCGCATACAATAGGGTATCTCTTTACGTCGTGGGCTAATTCTCGACCGCCATCTCCAGTCAGCTCAGGTCAAATGCCAGGCGACCGTACCCTACACAAAGAGTAGGTGTGACACTATTTTTGTATCGAATTACGGCCTGTCCCAGTTCAGGTGGGACTCACCAACATCAACCGTGGCCTCAGTTATAACAATCAACAACGTCGGCATTCGACCATTTAGTTTTTCCCAATTGAATTCAGCAACAATTTTTTTTTAAGTTTACGAACTAATTCAAATAACAATGACATTGCTGAAGCGCGGGGCCCCTTCAAGCGCGGGACCTATGGCGACCGCCCCGTTCGCCACCCCCTAACGCCGGCTCTGGGGGTAGACTTTCTCCGGGGTTGGGGGACGGGTCTGAGCCCACAGAAGATATGCCTGGAAGAATCTCTGGTTGTTTTAGTCCGGCGCCTTACCACACTCTCCTTTCAAATTCCTTTTATTTTAATTTTTTAAAAATGAAATATGATGTCATGGTTGCTAATGTATAAATATTTTTTTTAGATGTCGACCCTAGCTTTTAAAATAAAATAATTAAGCTTCATTAGAGCACTGAACGTTTTCTTGTATTATCTTTTCTATAGTTTTGCAGGTTTGGAAAGAATGTCTTCACACCAAACGGATGCAAATTAATGGATACAAGACCAAAATTCTCCATGGAAGATTGCTACTGTGAAGACACTGAACCGATGCTCTGGTTTGCTGTGATAAAACCAAGCTATTTTAAAGAGACTAATATGGTAATCAGTGCTGTTTGGAATGGAGAATATAGAGAAAGACCAAGATTTTTTCCACACCGGAGTTACAACACTATTTATCTCAGGGATCTTTTTGGTAAGTTTGCTAAATATATTATATACAAAATTTATAACAAACGTTTATTTAACTATACAATATATATAAATATATATATATATATATATATATATATATATATATATATATATATATATATATATATATATATATATATATATATATATATATATATATATATATATATATCGGGTGAAAGGTGTGTTAATGTATAAAAGACAGACACACATTGCTTCATATATATATATATATATATATATATATATATATATATATATATATATATATATATATATATATATATATATATATATATATATATATGTATATATACATACACACATATATATATATATATATATATATATATATATATATATATACATTTATATATATATATCTATATATATATATATACAGCCACGTAGGATAGGTAAAGGAGTGTTTAGGTAGGAGAGGGGAGTGAAGAGATGTAAAAATCCGATGACTTATTCTGGTAGTAGCACCAAAACAAAAGTCGGGAATCTAATTAGCCCAAATCACCGAGAGCAGGAATTCTATATTACAAGTAGCATTTTAATCAAAGTTATTTAGGTGGGAAATGTAGCTTGTTCTTGTGAATTTCCTGAAAACATTTTCTGTATATTTTCGTTTAGCTCTGGTTAATGTGTTATCGCTAGTGCAAAAAATATAAAAAATAACAACTTTATTAGAACTTAAAAAAATAAGTTTGATCTTTTGGACATGCCAGTCCAAAACTGAAAGATGGAGTGACGTTTACCTGGTTCTGTGACCTTATTAGCGTAGCCTGGATACACACAGATGATCTAATGACCAAAACGGCAAAATTTAAAAAATTTCCCTCCAAAAAAACCCCATCACAACACCCCAGACATAACGTGGAAGTAAAATATTGTCTTTATACAGCTCGTGGCCATATTGTTAGGCCTCGACAAAGATCTACGAACAGATCCAAGTCCTGGGCGGCGGGTAAGTTGTCTTTGTTGTTGGTATCTAAGCTGTTCACGCATAACACAAATATCACTGTTGGTTCCAATCATAGTTTCTTCCAGGCCTCTCTCAGGGGGGGGGGGGGGGCGATCCTCCCCTTCCCTTTGAAGAAAGTCTACCCCCCCCCCCGAAGAAAATGGAATTTATAGAGAAAATTTATACTTTAAACAGTGTCCGCCCCCCCCCCCCCACCCGGAAATTATAGACCTTTTCACAACCTCAAGTTTATAAGTATAGATCTTGTCACAACCTCAAGTTTATAAATGTAGATCTTGTCACAACCTCAAGTTTATAAGTCTAGATCTTGTCACAACCTCAAGTTTATAAGTGTAGATCTTGTCACAACTTCAAGTTTATAAGTGTAGATCTTGTCAAGTTTATAAGTCTAGATCTTGTCACAACCTCAAGTTTATAAGTCTAGATCTTGTCACAACCTCAAGTTTATAAGTCTAGATCTTGTCACAACCTCAAGTTTATAAGTGTAGATCTTGTCACAACCTCAAGTTTATAAGTGTAGATCTTGTCACAACCTCAAGTTTATACGTGTAGATGTTGTCACAACATCAGGTTTATAAGTGTAGATCTTGTCAAGTTTATAAGTGTAGATCTTGTCATAACCTCAAGTTTATAAGTGTAGATCTTGTCACAACCTCAAGTTTATAAGTGTAGATCTTGTCACAACCTCAAGTTTATAAGTGTAGATCTTGTCAAGTTTATAAGTGTAGATCTTGTCATAACCTCAAGTTTATAAGTGTAGATCTTGTCACAACCTCAAGTTTATAAGTGTAGATCTTGTCAAGTTTATAAGTGTAGATCTTGTCACAACCTCAAGTTTATAAGTGTAGATCTTGTCACAACTTCAAGTTTATAAGTGTAGATCTTGTCACAACCTCAAGTTTATAAGTGTAGATCTTGTCACAACCTCAAGTTTATAAGTGTAGATCTTGTCAAGTTTATAAGTGTAGATCTTGTCATAACCTCAAGTTTATAAGTGTAGATCTTGTCACAACCTCAAGTTTATAAGTGTAGATCTTGTCACAACCTCAAGTTTATAAGTGTAGATCTTGTCAAGTTTATAAGTGTAGATCTTGTCATAACCTCAAGTTTATAAGTGTAGATCTTGTCACAACCTCAAGTTTATAAGTGTAGATCTTGTCAAAACCTCAAGTTTATAAGTGTAGATCTTGTCACAACCTCAAGTTTATAAGTGTAGATCTTGTCACAACCTCAAATTTATAAGTGTATATCTTGTCACAACCTCAAGTTTATAAGTGTAGATCTTGTCACAACCTCAAGTTTATAAGTCTAGATCTTGTCACAACCTCAAGTTTATAAGTGTAGATCTTGTCAAGTTTATAAGTGTAGATCTTGTCATAACCTCAAGTTTATAAGTGTAGATCTTGTCACAACCTCAAGTTTATAAGTGTAGATCTTGTCAAAACCTCAAGTTTATAAGTGTAGATCTTGTCACAACCTCAAGTTTATAAGTGTAGATCTTGTCACAACCTCAAATTTATAAGTGTATATCTTGTCACAACCTCAAGTTTATAAGTGTAGATCTTGTCACAACCTCAAGTTTATAAGTGTAGATCTTGTCACAACCTCAAGTTTATAAGTGTAGATCTTGTCACAACCTCAAGTTTATAAGTGTAGATCTTGTCACAACCTCAAATTTATAAGTGTATATCTTGTCACAACCTCAAGTTTATAAGTGTAAATCTTGTCACAATCTGGAGTTTATAAGCGTAGATCTTGTCACAACCTCAAGTTTATAAGTGTAGATCTTGTCAAGTTTATAAGTGTAGATCTTGTCAAGTTTATAAGTGTAGATCTTGTCACAACCTGGATCACATTAATGTTTATCATAGCTGTTGTTTCACCATTAATGTTAAAAAAAAATGTTTTGTATTTCTTGGCAGATCTTCTGCTGGAGTTGACCTCAATTGTCCTGGCCTTTGGTACCGTGGCTTTCTTCATGTCTTAGGATGAGATCCTGTTGGCTGTTGTCCATCTGGGTGTGACCAGGACAAACATGTGAACAGAATGGGGGAAAAAGCTCATATTCAATGTTTTGATGAAGTTTTTACCACATTAGGTTACCATCAGAGTTGGCTAATGTCAAACGACATGAAGAGCATTTTGAATGACATTCTTTTTTTTGGTTTTAAAGATAAACATTCAGTTTCATTAATCTTGAATATTTCTTTACATTTGGTTTTAGTTCTGGGTACACACAGTATGTTAAAACATTATGCTATTTTACACATTGACTTGCAAGCACATTTCTATATATGTATTTATTTTAATGTATATATATATATATATATATATATATATATATATATATATATATATATTTTTTTTTTTAATTTATTTATTTATATATATATATATATATATATATATATATATATATGTGTGTGTGTGTGTGTTTGTGTATATGTATGTATATATATGTATGTGTGTGTATATATATATATATATATTTAAAGTTAAGTTGTAGTCACCATACACTTAGTTTCAATAAGTGTAAGCAAGAGGCACATACATAATTTTTCTTTGAATTTTAGCAAATTACAAATTTTTTAAAGTAGTGTGAATTTTAAAAGAAAGTTTTAATAAAGTATGACTTTGTGAAGTTAAAAGTTTAATAAAATTTGAAGTAAGTTCAGTTTTTAAAATGTTGGACTTCTTTAAAGTTTGTTTTGTGAACTTTGAATAAAATAAATTTCAAAATGTTTGCTTTGCCTTACTAAGTAAATAAGGACTGTTCTCTTTTTGAACCTGACATCCCATGGGCAAGTGAAGTAGAGTTCATCTGTTTCTGTGACTTCAGCATATGAAGGGATCAGTGCGGGCAGCAATATGCCCAGTCACCTTTCCTATCCTTACGTGAGTTAGGTACCCCCCAGAATTGGGTAGACTCAAGGACGTTCTACTGAGTGAACCCAGATTCGAACTTTATTGTTGGGTTAGCAGTCTAGTGCTCTATTGCTAGGCCATGCCATCATATCTGGCTTGCTTTATCAAATGTTTATTTTTCTTAGAAATTCGATTGAAATATTTTGTTGAATTTAACTTCAATACATTGCAGTATAAGCATGGAAATAAAGCAGATTATTTAATTTGAATTTGAGATGTTAAAAAAGTATAAAGTTATTTTACAATTTACTTACAAAATTCAATAAACATTAACATATTTGCTACTTTTCTGATATTACCATCAAAGTTACTATTTTTAGCCTCAAGTGATTTGTATTCCAGGAGGGTTTTGTATAGTAAAACAAAGTTATTGTGTGGTCAGCCCATAATTTCTATCACTAAGTCAATAGCCATCTCTGTAAAAGCTGAGACTAATTGGACCCGGGAACTCTCTTTACAATGCTTTACAAAGTTCTATATGTGTATCAAGTCAAGCATTCAATCAACCTGGTTCTTTAGGAAGTCCTATCAAGTCAAGCATACAATCAACCTGGTTCTTCATGAAGTCCTATCAAGTCAAGCATACAATCAACCTGGTTCTTCATGAAGTCCTATCAAGTCAAGCATACAATCAACCTGGTTCTTTATGAAGTGTATCAAGTCAAGCATACAATCAACCTGGTTCTTCATGAAGTCCTATCAAGTCAAGCATACAATCAACCTGGTTCTTTATGAAGTGTATCAAGTCAAGCATACAATCAACCTGGTTCTTCATGAAGTCCTATCAAGTCAAGCATACAATCAACCTGGTTCTTCATGAAGTCCTATCAAGTCAAGCATACAATCAACCTGGTTCTTTAGGAAGTGTATCAAGTCAAGCATACAATCAACCTGGTTCTTTAGGAAGTGTATCAAGTCAAGCATACAATCAACCTGGTTCTTTAGGAAGTGTATCAAGTCAAGCATACAATCAACCTGGTTCTTTATGAAGTCCTATCAAGTCAAGCATACAATCAACCTGGTTCTTCATGAAGTCCTATCAAGTCAAGCATACAATCAACCTGGTTCTTCATGAAGTCCTATCAAGTCAAGCATACAATCAACCTGGTTCTTTAGGAAGTGTATCAAGTCAAGCATACAATCAACCTGGTTCTTTAGGAAGTCCTATCAAGTCAAGCATACAATCAACCTGGTTCTTTAGGAAGCCCGATCAAGTCAAGCATACAATCAACCGTCCAAAAAGATTTCTACCTTACCTTGCCCCCATCAATTTTCCCATGTTAATGCCAGATGGTTTACTTATTAATCAATATAAATCACAATTTTATCACTTTTATATTTTCAAGAAACAATTCACTAGCTCTTGCATATAAACACAACTTATATAACTTATAATATATAACATAATAAGCAAATGACTAACAAAAAAAAAAACAAGGCTAATTTAATGAACACAAATTGGAGAAAAAAAAATTATAATTAATAAATAAAACTATTTTAATAATTTTAGGTTTAGGACAAATTTAATAAAAACAAAATTTGTCATTATTGACTCTTGAATAATGTACACACTAATAATACAGCCGGCCACTTCTATATTACAAAACCTTTGTGAAATTTCTAGAAGTGCAAATTATGTCCCTTGTATTAATCTGTTAACTTCAGTAATCTCTAATGGAATACACACATACACAGACAAATATGAAACATTTTTTTTTTTATTAATTACAGCAGATACTCAACAAATATTATGGTTAAGTTATATTTATCATTTTTTCAACATTATTCAAACACATGACATATATTGTGTAGTAATCACATTAGTATTTTTATCTCACAAAGTAATCACAGCTTTAACTAATGTGCTGTTGACTAAAAAATATTGTTTAAGACATAAAATGACTGATTTGACTGACTACAAAGTAAAGAAATAAAGTAAAAAAAAAAAAAAAACAAGTCAGTGACCAGAGGTGTCTTGTACCTGGTGGTGGCAGGGTGTCTGGTTACAGGGGACGGGCTAGTGTGGTGGGAGGTGGCATGCTGGTGTCACCTACTGGTGGCATCATGGTTGTTGAAGGTGGCGGCATCATTTCCTGTTGCGGGGGTGGATTGGTGGATGGCTCCAGTGTCAGGAGGCTACCAAACATGAAGTGTTGGACTATAGGAAACTTGGCTAAAATCTGAAAGATGGTAGACAACATGAAGTGTTGGACTATAGGAAACTTGGCTAAAACCTGAAAGATGGTAGACAACATGAAGTGTTGGACTATAGGAAACTTGGCTAAAACCTGTTAGGAGAAATATGAGTGAGGAGAATTGAGTGAGTGAAATGTGAGTGAGGAGAAGTGAGTGAAGAGAAATGTGAGTGAGAAGTGAGTGAAGAGAATTGTGAGTGAGGAGAAGTGAGTGAAGAGAAATGTGAGTGAGGAGAAGTGAGTGAGTGAGGAGAAATGTGAGTGAGGAGAAGTGAGTGAGTGAGGAGAAATGTGAGTGAGAAGAAGTGAGTGAGGAGAAATGAATAAGGAGAAATATGAATAAGAAATGAGTGAAGAGAATTGTGAATGAGGAGAAATGTGAATGAGGAGAAATGTGAATGAGGAGAAATGTGAATGAGGAGAAATGTGAATGAGGAGAAATGTGAATGAGGAGAAATGTGAATGAGGAGAAATGAGTGAAGAGAAATGAGTGAGGAGAAATGTGAATGAGGAGAAATATGAATGAGGAGAAATGTGAATGAGGAGAAATGAGTGAAGAGAAATGAGTGAGGAGAAATGTGAATGAGGAGAAATGTGAATGAGGAGAAATGAGTGAAGAGAAATGTGAATGAGGAGAAATGTGAATGAGGAGAAATGTGAATGAGGAGAAATGAGTGAGGAGAAATGAATGAGGAGAAATATGAATGAGAAGTGAGTGAAGAGAAATGAGTGAGGAGAAATGTGAATGAAGAGAAATGTGAATGAAGAGAAATGAGTGAAGAGAAATGAGTGAAGAGAAATGTGTGAAGAGAAATGAGTGAAGAGAAATGAGTGAAGAGAAATGCGAGTGACTGGAACAAATTTTTCTAATGTGGCCTTGTTACCTCTGCTCTGTACATCTTGATGAGACCAGAGTTGACCTTTGACCAGGCACCAACACCACTTATCCCCCACAGCTGGTTGGAGTGTTCAGCAAAGGGACCTGTCTTTACCTGAAGGAAATCATTTACACTGTACAAGCAGACAGCTCTCTATTGTTAGGAGTGTATGTTTGCGGCAGTTTTACGTTTCACTATGGGGTGTGGGGGAAGGGGCTGTACATAACTTTAAGCTAAACATAGGCCTAATGAAACAGAGCTTTGTTTTTTGTATTCAGAGAAATGAAAATAAGGCATCATTTTAATTTATCATCGGTTAGTGATTAGACTCAGTAGCTACTTACTTGGTTGATAAATTTAATAGCACTCAAAAATATAAAATCTTTATAGAAGCCGTTGTAAATATCTTCATTAGGAAAAGACTTTGGTTTGATTCTGGGATGGTCTGGAAAAGAAAAATAAAGTTGTACTTAAAAAACATAAATTATGCATCTCATAATAAAAACCTGTTCAAAAATTATCTCACATCAGCCAAATTTAAATTTTGAAATGTTTCCTTAAGGTATGATGTAATGTTTTGGTTTCTGTGGGTTTTTTGTTTTTACGAAATAAGTTTGCTGGTTTTATGTTCAACGCCCAACCTACAGGACCAGGGCACTAGCTTTCGTATGAACCCCTACCCTCGAAGATCTTCCCAGCCTGGTTAAACCTGGCAGGAGTTTACACTAGTATAGTAGGTCTGGGAGTCGTCAGGGTGCATAAACTGACAAGCCAAGACAAGACTCTAATGTTCTAAAAAAATAAGATACTGACATCGCACAAATGGCGCTAAACTGGACGCCTCAAGGAAAAAGAAATCATTAACAAGGAAGGCCAAGAGAGAATTGAAGGCGCACGGTGGGGAAGCAGCTGGCAGAAGCAGGACTGCCATGGGGGACTTCCAGGAAATTGGCAGTGACCGACAAAAGTGGAGGGAGCTTTCTGCAGGGGCCCCATGTGTCTTGGGCACAATAGGGAAAAGAGTGGGCTTTCTGCAGGGGCCACATGTGTCTTGGGCACAATAGGGAAAAGATGACGATGTAGTGTAATGTTCTGGTCAGGTAAAATCCAAGTTAGTGGTTTAAAGAAAAGGAGAGGTAATGACATCATAGTGGCTAACTAAACTGGTTAGAAAAGTACATGTAATTAAATAAAGTGCTGGCGAGTACCTAAAAGTTGTGAACTGCCCCACAGAAAAGAACATGTAATTAAATAAAGTGATGACTGGTACCTAAAAGTTGTGAACTGCCCCACAGAAAAGAACATGTAATTAAATAAAGTGATGACTGGTACCTAAAAGTTGTGAACTGCCCCACAGAAAAGAACATGTAATTAAATAAAGTGATGACTGGTACCTAAAAGTTGTGAACTGCCCCACAGAAAAGAACATGTAATTAAATAAAGCGATGACTGGTACCTAAAAGTTGTGAACTGCCCCACAGAAAAGGCAGAAACTGGTAGTCATCCAGACTCCAGACCCCATGGCTACCTGCAGGCTCCATGCGGTAAGTCAGTTGCAATTTTCTCATCAGATACATATACCTGTAAAAGAAACTCATTTATTATTTCATTGATTAACTTTATATATTTGTAAGATTACCTGGAATACATCTATTTATATCTAGTGAAACTTCATAAGATATTTTGTAACAAAAATATCAGGTTTTATCAGGGGTCACAATAAAAATTTGAAAATGTCTTTGGTTGGTGCTAAAGGTTGATAGAGTTCTGTTCCTTGGTACTCTTTTAGATCGCCCTTACTACTCAGAAATCATTAAATTTGTACAGAAAAACTACCTATGGATTGATTATATAATCTTGTTTAAGACACATACAAAAACAGACAGGATACTAGCCCACAACTGACTTTTTCTTTCCCAGGGACAACTAATTGACTTTTTCCCAGGGACAACTAACTGACTTTTTCCCAGGGACAACTAACTGACTTTTTCCCAGGGACAACTGACTTTTTCTCAAGGACAACTAACTGACTTTCTCAGGGACAACTAACTGACTTTTTCTCAAGGACAACTAACTGACTTTCTCAGGGACAACTAACTTTTCCCAGGGACAACTAACTGACTTTTTCTCAAGGACAACTAACTGACGTTCTCAGGGACAACTAACTGACTTTTTCCCAGGGACAACTAACTGACTTTTTCTTTCCCAGGGACAACTAACTGACTTTTTCCCAGGTACAACTGACTTTTTCCAAGAGACAACTGACTGATTTCTCCCCAGGGACAACTGATTTTCCCCCAACTCAACTCAGGTATCAATTAGATCTGTGTGGACTCAGTGACTCAGGGATAGCTGACTTTTCCCCAGGGACAACTAACTTGAAACCTTCTAGCTATGGGAAAGAAGATACATTGCATTAACTACTCAACTAACTTTGAACTGTTCAGTTCAATACAATCTCACCTTTCAAAAATTTTAAGTACCAATGCCGTATAATCTTCCTCCTTGAAGGCACCAAGTTTACATAAACAGCAGAGAAAAGCTACCATGGACAGTTCATGCCCTAAACAGCCAAAACATTTAATTCCAATTTTATAAGGGAAATCACTAGAAACAGCTAACAGTATACTAGGATATTTTTTTTTTACATTTAAAATTCTAATATTATATAGCAAATAATCAAATAAACATAATAATATACCATTTTAAATTAACGTTTACATTTACAAAGCAATAAAGTAAGGATTTTTTCACCTGTGCCGTAGTCTATACGTGTATCATTCCCCACACTTTCTATGACGTATGTAAACAGCTCTGGGATGGCTGGCTCGTACTCAGGGGGTAAAACTTGCTTTAACAAATTGGGACCTTCCTGTTGGAGAGAAAACAGAATGCTGCTATGAGACGGTTCAAAACTCACAACCTCAACCATCACCAGTTTTAACTTTAAGAGCAGGATATACTTCAAATAACTCAAAACCCTAGCCAATTTAAGTTTTGTAACAGCAAATGTTTTTAAAAATTATTAATTAATTTTCTTATATAAATCTTTTCAAATCAATTAAATTGCCTCCCACCAACAAACATGTGAATTGTTTCAAGCCATTAATTATCAATTAAAACAACTTAACAGAAATCATTAAATTGCTACAGAAGTACAACCCATGGATTCATTACATAATCTTGTCTATGACACATACAAAAACAGACAGGATACCAGCCCACAACAGAACCATAGACACATCCTGACCTCTTTAAGCTTGTTAAACCATGTTCTAAACGTCTTGTTGCCACATACACAACACACAGGATACTAGCGCACAACAGACCCACAGACACATTCTGACCTCTTTAAGCTTGTTAAACCATGTTCTAAACGCCTTGTTGCCACATACACAACACACAGGATACTAGCCCACAACAGACGCACAGACACATACTGACCTCTTTAAGCTTGTTAAACCATGTTCTAAACGCCTTGTTGCCAAACCTCTGTGGCTGGTCAATTGGAGGAATCTCGTCAATCCATTTGTCCAATTGATCCAACATGTTCACTAATTTCTCAATCAGCTGTCAAAACACATTCGACCCTACATTATTATTTATATACCAGAAACACTAACCCTATGCATTACAGATATGTTTATACTTGCTAACAGAATTGATCAAACATCACAAGTAAAATATTAGTGCACTATTATATATTTATTAAGGTTATGTTTAAATAACTTAAATAGATCTTAAAATCGTTATTTTGTGAAAGTGTACTTTGTCAGTTTACCTCAGCCCTTGACAGAGAAACAACTAACACAACTTGAAAGCTGGAATCTTCTGATCCTAAGTAAAATAAAGTTCCCTTTCGAACCTGACAGTCCATGGGACAAGTGATGTTGAGTTCACCTCTTTCTGTGACCTTAGCATATGAAAGGATAGTGTGGTCAGCACTTTGCCCACTTTTCCTAACAAAAGTCAGGTACCCATCAGAGCTGGGTGAACACAGGGACATTCTACTTGGACCCAGGTTTGAACTTGAGATTTTAGGGTTAGCAACATTATGCTCAACCTTCAACCACTGCATCCCATCTTCAATCCTAACACAACCCATGTGAATAACAAGGCTCTACACCCCACAATTAACTTAACCCTAAACAACTATCTAGATTGTGTTTATAAGTATAAGAAAATAATACACATTTTTTGTGCTTGATGTTATGAAATAAAGAGTAGGCCAATATTTTGGGCCAAGCTTTACTTACTGGAGAGCTGTGATACTGGTCTCGAATCTTCTTATTTTTTACAGCCTCATTTAGTGCTAGAATAAAACCTAGTAAGTCTGAATATGCCTGAAAATATATGTGTAAAGAGGTATTCAATTCGATAAATAAATTTAATCAAGCACAATTAAATATATAGTTAATAAAAAACCTAGCAAGTCAACATTTGTCTGAAAAATGTGCAAACAGGTAAACAACTTCGATTAGGCCTAAACAAAATAAAAATAATTTCACCTGAGATTTCTCCCACCTTGGGATATCATTTGGTAACTTGATTTGCTTTTCTGGTTGCATAAAAGTGTGGGTTGGAATATCGATATGCGTGGAGCTTTTGTCTGTAATGTAACAAAATAATACCACAGATGTCATGTTCTGAAAATATACTGACACATGCCACTCACTGACTAAAAGCAAGTTCTGTGTTTTATATAATTTATGAGTGCCATATGTGTAATATTTATATTCAATGTTATGTAAATTATGTATTATCATTACACCAATTTTCTTGGCAGCCCCCCCCCCCCCCCCCCCAACAATATCATCTTTCCTTATGACCCTCCTTTAATCTTCATGGCTAATAAAATAAATATTAAATATGGAGCATTGACTTGAGACTAGCTTAACTAGCTAGATTTAGATACACAACTACACTTCTCCTATCTATAGTAGGCCTAACTATAGTCACAAGGCCTAGTTAGTTAATATTATTACAAAATTATGAAAATACTAGAATCTAGATCTAGATTCTAGGCCTAGATCTCTAGATCTAGAGTCTAGATTAAATGATATTATTTTAAAATTAAAAATTAACGCACTTCCTACCTGAATTCATTGTACTATTAAATTTGTATTATTTTATAAATAATGGTCTCTGTGTCGTGTCAGTATAGTATGTATTGGTTAGGGTAGAAAAGCAAGCCTATTCTAAAATAGATCTAGAATCTAGATCTAGATTCTATAAGTCGTGGGAATCTAAGCCAGAACCTAGATTCTACATCGAAATGGAGCTCTAAACTAAAATACTATATTTTCTAGACCAAATTGATTGTAAATTAACGCTCTGTGAAAAAAACAAATAAAAGGCGAAAATATTTAGGCTTATTAACGAAACACAGTAATTTTTTAAAACACCGCATAAGCCTAAATAAAGAAAATTAGAATAAGGACGTCTAGATTAGATCTATATGCCTGCCATAAATTGTAAATACATAAATCATAAATGCAGTATGCATAATAATGATTTATAACTTATATAGGTATAGGCCTAATATATTTTACGTATCGCCTTAAAAAAAAAACAAGGCCATGGTGCCGGGTAAAGAAATGTTTAAATGTTTTTCGTTATAAATGTATTTTTGGGCACTTAGTACAACCTTGTCCTACTATTTATTTACTCTTGAATGCCTAGACTCTAGACTCTAGACCTACTAGGCGTAGTAACTAGATTCTATATAAACTAGACCCCTAGTAGTTTAAAGATAGTAAATCTGTATGTCCTTTTAATACCAGTAATTCATTATTTTATCCATAACCAATGTTGAGCAAAGGCAGACTTAATTTATCATTGTGATGGCATCACATAATAAATTCATAATTCCCTCATCTTACGACACGAGAACGAGTCAAACTCAGCTCATCATTCAATCCATTCATTATAGATCTAAAATAAATATAAGTTCTTACATATAATGACACAGAAGTCTGCGGGCTCTGTTGATGCCTCGCAACTAAAGATAAACTTCATCAAAGGAAAGAAATTACATCTATTCTCTTCAAAATTACTAAATATTTGTTGTCTGCTCTGCAACCGAACCCATTCAAGCTTACGATATTGGTTTTTACTTCGGTCAGATTTGCAGGCTGGGGATGTAGCTCAGTGGTAGAGCGCTCGCTTCGCATGTGAGAGGCCCCGGGTTCGATCCCCGGCATCTCCAGGAAATTTTTGTTTTCCTTGCAAAAATTAGAACAATTTTTCGACGTTTAACACCTCCCTACTTAATCATGTAAGGAATATAAAAATTGTAATCGTACAAAAGATCGAAATCAATCTTGGCGTTTTACACCTACTGCAGCTGGAAAAACTTTGTATTAGCTATATTATTAACGTTTCCATTAAAATATATTTATTTCTTTTTATTTTGGTAATGATTAAAAACTAACATAAATACAGATTAAATAGATAGATACTAAGATATATAGATACAGGTGGTGTTATTAATTATTAACTGTTATAATTATATTATTTATATTAGGGGAAAAGTGAAAATGTGTTTTGTAATATATAAAGTGCCAGATCTCTATAAAGTGTTGATGTGATCTTTGTTGAGCCAACTAAACCCAGTCAAGTAAAGCACACGGGCCTATACTACGGTGGCAGGTGAGAGAGTTATCCACCTTTATAATTGTTCTCTATTCAACAATGGGGAGGGGTGCAGTGTGTGACACCCAATACTTGGCGACATGGGCGTGCTACAAGTATAGGAGCCCGGGGCAAACCTTCGAACCCCGAGAATATACAAAATGTAAAGAGTCACACGAACAATGCGTGATCTTTTTCTATATAGCAGGAAGACCGGCTGCTTTAAGATAGTTTGAACTGAACAAGCCTATCTTGATTAACATGACCTCATCGTGATTTTAACAAGACGTCATTAAGACGTACATGATGTCATCATGACTAACAACTTTAATTAACTTGGCTTAATCGTGTCTTTATCGAAAGTTTTTTAAAAAAATTCACCAAAACTTTGCTCTGAAACAAACTATATACAAACTACTCAATTTGCCGAACTGTTGCTTTGTAGTCTCTTGGTTGTAACTATAATATATCGCTCCTTACAGAGCATCAAACCATTGCTTTAGAGTTTAGAGGTGCACCATACACTACGCAAGTCGGTGTGAAATAACGGTAGAAAATAACCAGTTTTGTGAACACTACGATTTAATTAAGTACGCACAGCGTTGACAGTTTAAAGTTTAAAATAAAAACTGAATTACCTCCCTTACAAAAGAAAAAAATGTAAGCTAAATTTTCACCCATTTTTACTTTCTCGTATATACGTAGTATAGAGAAAGTATTGTAATCGTGCAAAAAAAAAAATCGAGATTTTTACAAATCTCGACGTTTTACACCTCACTGATACGGAAAAACATAATTTTGCAATCTTGTCCGTATGTCTGTGTGTGTGTGTGTCTGTGTGTCTGTCCGTGTGTAAACACGATAACTTGAGTACCGTTACAGTTAGGTTGATGAAATTTCATATATAAGTATTTTATCAAAATCGTAGATCCGTATCAACTTTTGAGCGATTTCCGACAACCGGAAGTGGTACTTTTTCTACTTTGAATTTTTCAAAAGCCTATAACTTGAGTACTATTTCAGATAGATAAATGAAATTTCACATGTAAGTAAAAGATCTAATTCTCTACCTTCTGTTAAATTTTGAGTAATTTCCGTTGACCGGAAGTAGTAATTTACGCTACTTCCGATTTCTCAAAAAACTAATGTAAATTTTTAAAGTACTAATAATATTGCGCACTATTATACACACCTTTATTAGGCGTTCGCTTGGTGCGCAATTGTTTTTTACTGAGATTCTATTCTATTTTTAAAAGTTTCAGTATTTAAAATGGATTAAAAATCATAACTATATCCCCAGTTACCATCCCCTGTTGTTTTATATAAGAATATTCGAGAAAGTTTAGGGGAGATCACTACCGGTTTATTTTTAACACCACAGTCGCCGCTTATTTAAGTAAGAGATTTACGCCATTGTTAATGAGAGTTTGATAATCTGATTGTCTTAGTAAAACTAGATCAGTGGCTTTAGTCATCTCGTTGGGAGGGCGAGAACGAAATAGAATGTATTTAGAAAATATAAATTTTACCCGTGTCCGCCCCCCCCCCCCCCCCCCCCCTCCCCTTCTGGAAAATTTAGTCAGCTCACCCGAAAGGGGTCATCCATAAATGACGTCACGCTTTTTTTGACGATTTTTACCTCCCCCCCCTCCCCTCCGTCACACGTCGTCACAAAAAGCCAGCCCCCCCCCCCCCCTAAAATGACGTCACACCTCAACCTACAACCCCCCTCAAAATTGCAGTTGAATTTTTTTTAAACATCGATATTTTTCCAAAATCTTGTCTAAACTATTACAATTTATTAAAACAGTTATCTAAAACGCGAAATAACGTCTAAAATTCGTTTTCTAACATTGCTTTTTTATAATGCAAAAATGTGTCATTTATGGATGACCCCAAAGTTTAAAGTGCCCTACCAGAAAAAAAAAGTCTGAAAGAAACACTGCTTCTGTTAGTGACGTTTTTTTTCTGTTATCCGTGGTTTAGGCTTATGTCTGTATGAGTAGCCTTGGGCTTGTTTCTGTATCCTTAGTTAGGATTATCTGTATCCTTAGTTAGGATTATCTGTATCCTTAGTTAGGATTATCTGTATCCTTAGTTAGGCTTATCCTGTATCCTTAGTTAGGCTTATCCTTAGTTTAGCTTATCCTGTATCCTTAGTTAGGCTTATCCTGTATCCTTAGTTAGGCTTATCCTTAGTTTAGCTTATCCTGTATCCTTAGTTAGGCTTATCCTGTATCCTTAGTTAGGCTTATTTCGTTTGTCACTGGACGTTACTATGTTATACGTGTGGCCTTAGACAAAGATCTTTTGTCAGTGACTTTAGTCAGGCAGGGTTTTTTTTGTGTGTGTCCCCTTGTGTTGGGTCGTAGTTGATTCCCCCCCCCCCACTAACCCCACCTTTTTACGTGTTGAATGCACTCAAGGTCACGTCCGCTCGTAGCCCAGGTCACCTGCTACCTGTTGCATTGTGTGACCTAACATGCAGGTGTCGCACTTTGTGTGAGGAGGAGGCTACCTGCGAGCCACCTGCGCTAATCCACGCACACATCACTGCACAGACAGAGGATTATTTCACCTAATCCTTGCATTTAGTGTTACATCTAATCACTACAGTTAGAGGATTATTTCACCTAATCCTTGCATTTAGTGTTACATCTGATCACTACAGTTAGAGGATTATTACACCTAATCCTTGCATTTAGTGTTACATCTAATCACAACAGTTAAGGATTATTTCACCTAATCCTTGCATTTAGTGTTACATCTAATCACTACAGTTAGAGGATTATTTCACCTAATCCTTGCATTTAGTGTGTGTTTCATCTAATCACTAGTTAGAGGATTATTTAAACTTGTTATCGCACACAGTAGGTAATTTAGTTAGATGACTATCTCAGTGAGGGCCATCAACCACTAACACACCACACTTTCTCAATAAGAGTCGTATCTCGACAATAGCCAGTTATCTAGTCCAGTCTTGGGCCATGCCTACTTATATTGTAACAATGGCCAACTATCTAGTCCAGTCTTGGGCCATGCCTGCTTATATTGTAACAATGGCCAACTTTCTAGTTCAGTCTTGGGCCACGCCTGCTTATATTGTAACAATGGCCAACTATCTAGTCCAGTCTTGGGCCATGCATGCTTATATTGTAACAATGGCCAACTATCTAGTCACCACCAGCCTGTTTATATTGTAACAATGGCCAACTATCTAGTCCAGTCTTGAGCCATGCCTGCTTATATTGTAACAATGGCCAATTATCTAGTCCAGTCTTGGGCCATGCCTGCTTATATTGTAACAATGGCCAACTATCTAGTCCAGTCTTGGGCCATGCCTGCTTATATTGTAACAATGGCCAACTATCTAGTCCAGTCTTGGGCCATGCCTGCTTATATTGTAACAATGGCCAACTTTCTAGTTCAGTGTTGGGCCATGCCTGCTTATATTGTAACAATGGCCAACTTTCTAGTTCAGTCTTGGGCCATGTCTGCCTATATTGTAACAATGGCCAACTATCTAGTCCAGTCTTGGGCCATGCCTGCTTATATTGTAACAATGGCCAACTATCTAGTCCAGTCTTGGGCCATGCCTGCTTATATTGTAACAATGGCCAACTATCTAGTCCAGTCTTGGGCCATGCCTGCTTATATTGTAACAATGGCCAACTATCTAGTCCAGTCTTGGGCCATGTCTGCTTATATTGTAACAATGGCCAACTATCTAGTCCAGTCTTGGGCCATGCCTGCTTATATAGTAACAATGGCCAACTATCTAGTCCAGTCTTGGGCCATGCCTGCTTATATAGTAACAATGGCCAACTATCTAGTCCAGTCTTGGGCCATGCCTGCTTATATTGTAACAATGGCCAACTATCTAGTCACCACCAGTCTTTGGCCATGCCTGCTTATACTGTAGCACTGGGCCATCAACGCCGGTACATTAAACCAAATCTAAAAGTACCACGTTGGCCATGAAAGCTAATCTTTGTAACACTCCGCCACAGGCAAGCAATATAGGTCACCCTCCCAACCCCCACCCCTTACAAATCTACAGCTACAGAACTCTAAAATGTGAAAGCGCCCCTCCCCCCACCCCCTTTAACCCACCCCCACCCTCACATACTCAATTTTAACACGTTGCCTGGTATATTTTCTCCTAATTTTTTTTTTTCTTCCGCTTTAATTCCGTGGCATTCAACAGTTCGCCACAGCTAAGTCCTCCCCTCCACAAGCAGTAACACAATCAACGACCCATTTCAATGGGGAACTTGTAATATAACAAGCCGATTCCAAAGATTGGCTAGGACGGCGCTCGAATTTCTTTTCTCTAACCGCACACACTATACACCCTATGGAGACAAATTGTGAACTTCTTTTTTTTTTCTTTTCCCAAATGACATGTAATTTACGCATACAGTTGCGCCCTGCTTAACTGCACGGGTTTGGCGCGAATAGACAACTCATCTCAGTGCAATAATACGGGGTTGTTGTGTGCGCACCAGTCTGTAATTACGCGTCAGCCGATTGGTGCACACATGAGTAGAGCCGGCGTCGTGCTTTCAGTGTTCACTGCGGCGCTGTCCTGCGTGTTTTATCTCTTTGTGATCGGGCTCTCGACAAGTGGTGGTTTAAAGTTGACCAATTTTGTTTTTCATTGCCAATCTACCACGTCTTAGTGTTTACATTAAGTGTGTTAAAAGTGGTTTCAAAAGATATGTCATTGAGTATTAGATTTTATTTTAAAATGTTTTTTTTTTAAATCAGAGTTATTCAAATAACCTGCTTTTTTTTTTTGTCCCCTTTAAGTTTTCAAACCCAACTTTTTCAGTTTATGTAAGGGAAAGGGTAGACGTACTGTCAAGCGTGATTTTCGAATAGATTCGTGCGAGTTCGAGTCCTGCCCAAGCCGGAATCTTGGCTTATAATCTACAGGTGTCGTGTATTGGAAAATGGGGGAGGGGGGGGGGGGGGTTAAGTATGCGGCCAGCGACTCCTTGTGTAAAGGGATCAACTTTTATCTTTTATGTTTGTAGCTTCCAGTGTTTCTTCCAGACTTTTTTTCTCCGGGGGGGGGGGGGGGAGCGGGGGCGTGGTGGGCGGACACTGATAAAATTATATAGTTTCTATAAAAATGTCCATTTCATTCAGGGGTGGGGGGTAGACTTTCTCTGAAGAGATGCCTGGAAGAAACACTGGTAGCTTCCTTTGGTAGGCTAATTTTTAAAGCCCCATTTGTCTGTCTATATCTGTCAGCTTCTTATGTAAAGGGACTTATTCTCACGACTGTCAGTAAGTTCCTAGTGTAATTGGATAGGCCCTTTTTTATATTTTCTTGTGTAAAGGGACAAACAAAAGACTGTAGCTTTCTTGTATAAACGGAAAGACGCGGGGAGGGGGGGGGGGAGCAGTGTTTCGTTCAGCATCAGAAAGAAATAGAATTTATACTGAAAATATATACTTTTACCATTGTCGTCGTTTCCCCTCCCCCTCGGAAATTTTAATCCTCCCTCTCCCCGAAAGTTTCACCGAAAGCTTTAAGTTATCGTCCACCCCCCCCCTCACCCCATGCAGGCGTGTACTCACTGAGTTCCGTCGTGACGTAAACACCGGAACTCCACATTATCGAGGCCGTGTGCACAACAGAACCCGACCAATCAAGTCAAGATGACGCCGTGCGAATACAGGAAGTGATGTCAATTTCTCTGAGTGGTCTTCAGGCTATTGTTATATTTAAGAACACCGCCTTTGGTATTGACGAAACCGGTTGAAGAAAATTATTTTAAAACCAGGATATTTGATTCTCGCATTGTTGTTGTGTCGATGTCGTAATGCTCGTCCCGAATAGTGTTTAAACCTCTGCCAAAAAGAAAATAGTAATAAAGTACAGGGTGTCTGTGTTGACTTAAGTCATATCAAACAAATGCGGAAAATTATTTTTTTTTTTAATTCGGAATTTTATTTGTTTGAAAAAAAAGAAAACGTTTTGAACAATAAATCATTAAATCGTGGTCGAAATTTTGATTGGTGGACAAAAATATTTATTTCAAGTGCCTTCTTCTCTTTGACCAATCGGTCCTCATTTGGTGTTGATTACATGAAGTCATTAGCCTACTTGTAATTATCTTATCAGCATATCCATTGCCATGTCTGAATTACAAATTTATTAACTTATACACCCATAATCTAGATTTTTTTACATATGCAAACTATAACGTAATCTTTTCTGAGACCCCCCCCCCTCCTTAATTTTCAAAAACACTTAGTAATATTGAGGAGGGTTGTGTAATCTCTTCGGTGGGCTGTGCACTCTGCCCCCCCCCCCCCCGGGTGGGGAAGTCTTGAAGATACACTGCTACTGAGCTACACTTTTTTAAAATCCCAGTAATAAATTAGAAATTAATGAGCCGATAATTAACGTGACCATGAAATTGTTGACACTTATTATCTAACTTTAGACCGATCCCTCCCGTCCTTTAAAGAATGCCTCCCCGCCCATCTGCCCCTCTCACCCCCCTTCCTCTTGAATGCCCCAAATTTCCGTTGCCCCAGCTGAAATCCACGCCACTTGTCAAGAGAACAAAAGGATACCGCTCATAGAGAAACCAGCGTCGTCTCGGTCACATTTCACCCCAACCTGTTGCTTCACCCCAACCTGTTGCTTCACCCCAACCTGTTGGAACCTGTGGCTTCACCCCAACCTGTTGGAACCTGTTGCTTCACCCGAACCTGTTGCTTCACCCCAACCTGTTGCTTCACCCCAACCTGTTGGAACCTGTTGCTTCACCCGAACCTGTTGGAACCTGTTGCTTCACCCCAACCTGTTGCTTCACCCGAACCTGTTGGAACCTGTTGCTTCACCCCAACCTGTTGGAACCTGTTGCTTCACCCCAACCTGTTGGAACCTGTTGCTTCACCCCAACCTGTTGCTTCACCCGAACCTGTTGGAACCTGTTGCTTCACCCCAACCTGTTGCTTCACTCGAACCTGTTGGAACCTGTTGCTTCACCCGAACCTGTTGGAACCTGTTGCTTCACCCCAACCTGTTGGAACATGTTGCTTCACCCGAACCTGTTGGAACCTGTTGCTTCACCCCAACCTGTTGCTTCACCCCAACCTGTTGGAACCTGTTGCTTCACCCGAACCTGTTGGAACCTGTTGCTTCACCCCAACCTGTTGCTTCAGCCCAACCTGTTGGAACCTGTTTCTTCACCCCAACCTGTTGGAACCTGTTGTTTCACCCCAACCTGTTGCTTCACCCCAACCTGTTGCTTCACCCCAACCTGTTGCTTCACCCCAACCTGTTGGAACCTGTTGCTTCACCCCAACCTGTTGCTTCAGCCCAAACTGTTGGAACCTGTTGCTTCAGCCCAACCTGTTGGAACCTGTTGCTTCAGCCCAACCTGTTGGAGCCTGTTGCTTCAGCCCAACCTGTTGGAACCTGTTGCTTCACCCCAACCTGTTGGAACCTGTTGCTTCACCCGAACCTGTTTGAACATGTTGCTTCACCGCAACCAGTTGGCACCTGTTGCTTCAGCCCAACCTGTTGGAACCTGTTGCTTCAGCCCAACCTGTTGGAACCTGTTGCTTCACCCCAACCTGTTGGAACCTGTTGCTTCACCCCAAGCTGCTGGAACCTGTTGCTTCAGCCCAATCTGTTGGCACCTGTTGCTTCACCGCAACCAGTTGGCACCTGTTGCTTCAGCCCAACCTGTTGGAACCTGTTGCTTCACCCCAACCTGTTGGAACCTGTTGCTTCACCCCAACCTGTTGGAACCTGTTGCTTCACCCCAACCTGTTGCTTCACCCGAACCTGTTGGAACCTGTTGCTTCACCCCAACCTGTTGGAACCTGTTGCTTCACCCCAACCTGTTGGAACCTGTTGCTTCACCACAACCTGTTGCTTCACCCCAACCTGTTGCTTCACTCGAACCTGTTGGGACCTGTTGCTTCACCCGAACCTGTTGGAACCTGTTGCTTCACCCCAACCTGTTGGAACCTGTTGCTTCACCCGAACCTGTTGGAACCTGTTGCTTCACCCCAACCTGTTGCTTCACCCCAACCTGTTGGAACCTGTTGCTTCACCCGAACCTGTTGGAACCTGTTGCTTCACCCCAACCTGTTGCTTCAGCCCAACCTGTTGGAACCTGTTGCTTCACCCCAACCTGTTGGAACCTGTTGTTTCACCCCAACCTGTTGCTTCACCCCAACCTGTTGCTTCACCCCAACCTGTTGGAACCTGTTGCTTCACCCCAACCTGTTGCTTCAGCCCAACCTGTTGGAACCTGTTGCTTCAGCCCAACCTGTTGGAACCTGTTGCTTCACCCCAACCTGTTGGAACCTGTTGCTTCACCCCAACCTGTTGGAACCTGTTGCTTCAGCCCAACCTGTTGCTTCAGCCCAACCTGTTGGAACCTGTTGCTTCACCCCAACCTGTTTGAACATGTTGCTTCACCGCAACCAGTTGGCACCTGTTGCTTCAGCCCAACCTGTTGGAACCTGTTGCTTCAGCCCAACCTGTTGGAATCTGTTGCTTCACCCCAACCTGTTGGAACCTGTTGCTTCACCCCAACCTGTTGGAACCTGTTGCTTCACCCCAACCTGTTGCTTCACCCCAACCTGTTGGAACCTGTTGCTTCACCCCAACCTGTTGGAACCTGTTGCTTCACCCCAACCTGTTGCTTCACCCCAACCTGTTGGAACCTGTTGTTTCACCCCAACCTGTTTCTTCACCCGAACTTGTTTCTTCACCCGAACGAAATGGAATTTATATAGAAAATATATACTTTTAACAGTGTCCGCCCCACGGAAAATTTAGTCCCCACGGAAATTTTAGTAAATGCATGTTTAATACGTGAACTGATGTATATTGCTGAAAAATTTCAGAAAAAAAAAGGCATGGGAAGGAAGTTTAAAGCTTGAAAAAGTAGTGGATAATGAAGGGTATCTCTTGACAGTTGTGTGTAATGTAGACTATCTTGTAGAAGACGACGATAATGAAGGATATCTTGTAAAAGACGGCATGCTTGGGACTGGGTAGTCTTATAGTATAAGTAGTCTTGTAAACAACATCCGCCATTTTTAGGAGAGGAGGGGGCTTTTATTGACTTTCAGGGTGACATGTGATGTTATTTTACGGGAGGGGATCTTGCATTTTGTGACGATTTGTGACGAAGGGGAGGGAGGAGGTACAAAAAAAAGCGTGGCGTCATTTATGGATGACACCTAAGACATGATATTGATATCTTAGTTCGTGACAACGCAGACATACAGATTTTTATCTTGTAAGACTTTATATTTATATAGCTTAAACTTGTCTTAATTTTTAAGACAGTATAAATTTCTTGTAGTGTAAACGACAGGATAGATTGTCTTATATTTAAGACATTATATCTTATCGTGTAAGAGACTGGATGTAGGTGTCTTATCTTGTAAGTTTAAGACAGATTTTACCAGTCTCCTTGGAACAAGATGTAGATCTCCAACTAGCAACAACGGGGGAAAGTGATGTGCGCTACAAAAATCTGACAAAGAAATCAGATTTTAAAAAACTTGGTTCCTATGCGGTGGGCGTTAAAAAAAACTGACAGCCACGAAATCAAGGTCAGTGGCCATGTTTGTTTTTGCGAGAAATTTGACATTTGAAAGTAGGTCACGTTTTTCAGGCAGGGCCAAAAGTTTCATTGAAAACATACTCTAGCAGACGTTCTTCCGCTCACTACTTCCCCCACCTTCCAAACTGTACTAAGGTTGCTTTTTTTTTTTCTTTTAGCTTTTCGTTTCGTTTTTTTTTTACTTTTTTCAAATTTTCATTTCGTTTTTCTTCTCCCAGATTTTTCATAGATTTTCTACAAATTTTCTTTTCGAATTTTTAAAAATCTTTCTATGAAATAGGTGGTGAGGTTTAGCAGCGAAAAGCATAGCTGTTACAATCACGCAGGTTTGTATATGAAGAAAAAAAAGAAGCATTATTATTTGAACTACCGAGGTTGATATATGCAATAACAACAATTAATACTTAACCTTTAAAAAAAGCAGCTAAAGATTTAAAAATATTCTTCTATTGAAAAAAAGTCCAATTTTCTTATTACAAGTGACGTTTTTTCTTTTAACAAAAGGGTTTGGTTTGGAAGTTAAGTTAAAGGTGAATCTTTTGTTTTGAGGTGGTAGAAAACGTATGCACACAAATCGCTGTATGGGTTTCTATTTTTAGCTCAGGACAAAGCTTTTATCTGACTAGTCGTGTTAGCACCGAGACAACACATGTCACTAATAGCACCCACAGAAAGCACACATAATTTACTCCTTTTAGCACCTAGACAACACATGTCACTAATAGCACCCACAGAAAGCACACATAATTTACCCCTTTTAGCACCCAGACAGCACATATCTCTTGGTCCTACTAGCACCCAGACAGCACATATCTCTTGGTCCTACTAGCACCCAGACAGCACATATCTCTTGGTCCTACTAGCACCCAGACAGCACATATTTCTTGGTCCTACTAGCACCCAGACAGCACATATCTCTTGGTCCTACTAGCACCCAGACAGCACATATCTCTTGGTCCTACTAGCACCCAGACATCACATATCTCTTGGTCCTACTAGCACCCAGACAGCACATATCTCTTGATCCTACTAGCACCCAGACATCACATATCTCTTGGTCCTACTAGCACCCAGACAGCACATATCTCTTGGTCCTACTAGCACCCAGACAGCACATATCTCTTGGTCCTACTAGCACCCAGAAAGCACATATCTCTTGGTCCTACTAGCACCCAGACAGCACATATCTCTTGGTCCTACTAGCACCCAGACAGCACATATCTCTTGGTCCTACTAGCACCCAGACAGCACATATCTCTTGGTCCTACTAGCACCCAGACAGCACATATCTCTTGGTCCTACTAGCACCCAGACAGCACATATCTCTTGGTCCTACTAGCACCCAGACAGCACATATCTCTTGGTCCTACTAGCACCCAGACAGCACATATCTCTTGGTCCTACTAGCACCCAGACAGCACAAGCTCAACAAACTGAAAACAACCCATTGTTTTATACCCCCCCCCCCTCCCCAACCCTTAGCCCCCCCCCCTCCCCAACCCTTAGCCCACCCCGCTCACCCATCAGCGAGTACTGTTATAGCTGCCCTCGCCGTTGAATTCATTGTTGTCTACCCCATACCGCTAACACCCCCTTCCCCTACCCCCCTCCCTCAATCCGACCTGCCCTACATCGACCGCCAGCGGAATTCCCCAATACCGTTTACATTCCCAACCGTCGGGTCCCCGTCTCCGAATCAGTGAGCCAAAAAAAAAAAAAAACCCTCGCTAAAAAACAAAAGCAAATACTCTCAGTATTAAAAGGCGAGGTCTTACTATCCGTTTCTGTAAACGAACAACTCTCAACTCTAATGATTTCAAATTCAATATCGCACTTAGACAGACAGTGCACTAGAAAGTTTGAGCTCTAAAAGTTAGATTCTTTTAATTGGGTTTAGTTTCGTACACCGTTGAAGCCGACCTAATTTTTTTTTTTAGTTCGATGAGGTGGGGGCCTAGTGTATGATATGCCACAGCTAAATCCGACTCGTTGCGAACATGTACGCTCTTTGTGTTGGAGGGTACTCACGTTTTTTTAAAAGGGGGAGGGGTGAGGGTGGTGTAGAAGAATGTAGCATTTCCATGAATGAAAGTACGTGCAAGCTCATATAGGCCAAGGTCAAGACGAAAATTATATTAACATTTTTTTTTTTGCTCTAGGTTTTTGCAGCCTACTGGTTCTCTAAAAGCTGTTTGCATTCTCGTAGGTTTTTTTTTTTTAATTTTTTTTTTGGCTGGACGGGTGAAATAAATCTGGGTTTAAAACAAGTTGCTGTTTACAGATTTGGCATTCGAGGGCATTGGAGTTGATGCCTAGGGGCTTGAGTGTCACACATACAATACATATACACAAATAGGCCTACCAAATACACACACACAAAAACACACACAAAAACACACACACACACACACACACATATATATATATATATATATATATATATATATATATATATATATATATATATATATATATATATATATATATATATATATATATATATATATATATATATATATAAGCCTACTATTTTAAGACAAAAAGCCAGAAGCATCACGGTAAATCCTGATTTGAACGACAGACGAAACTGTTAGCCACAAATCTCTGAAAATGTGTTAGTTATAAAACAATAGTCCTAACTATGAACCATTAACAGTGATTAAGATTGGGTAATGGTGTTCACGTGAAGAAGTTGCTTAAAGGCCATTTCTGCAAAGAATCGAGAAAAACATTTTATTTAAATTTGCTAATGAGGACATATCCACGAAATGGTTAAAATCCGTAGTAGTTTTTCTTCAAAATACTTGACATCTATTTTATCCAGCTCAAAAGCCAGCTAAAGATTAACTCGGTTTTTAAAGTCTGGCTGTAGTCTGAATACATTGTCCAGTCATTCAGGTAGTGCATTGAGTAGACTTCCTCTGTATTTCTTCCCCCTCCCCCCCCCCCCCCTACCCCACACACACACCTGAATTTTTCCACCTGACGGTACGTCCTGTTGTGGCGGTGGCCTCACACTTCCGATCAGCGCATTGTCCGAATTCTCGCCATTCAGACCTGAGCAAGGCCGGCGGATGGTGGATAAGCCGGTGCTTCCTCCCACTGCCTACCCCCCCCCCCCCCCATCCCCCCCTCTCCCCACCCCCGGGGTCACCTGTGTGGCCAGCTGGTCGAGAGCACAACAAACGGACTTATTTATTTTCCTGCTGTCTTTTATGTGGGTGATGGTCAACGGAATTTGCGTGGGGTTAGGTCAGGGTGATTATAGGCGTGGTGTCGGGTCAGGGTTGTGTGGGTGGGTACACGGGTCAGGGTCATGTGGGTAGGGGTGTCGGGTTAGGGGGATGTCGGGTCAGTATTATATGGATGGGGTAACGGGTCAGGGTTATGTGGGTGGGGTTAGGTTAAGGTTATGTGTGTGGGGTTAGGTCAGGGTAAGTATAGGTGTGGTGTCGGGTCAGGGTTGTGTGGGTGGGGTTAGGTTAAGGTTATGTGTGTGGGGTTAGGTCAGGGTAAGTATAGGTGTGGTGTCGGGTCAGGGTTGTGTGGGTGGGGTAACGGGTCAGGGTTATGTGTGTGGGGTTAGGTCAGGGTAAGTATAGGCGTGGTGTCGGGTCAGGATTGTGTGGGTTGGGTGTCGGGTTAGGGGGATGTCGGGTCAGTGTTATATGGATGGGGTAACGGGTCGGGGTTGTGTGGGTGGGTGAAGTTAAGGTTATGTGGGTGGGGTTAGGTCAGGGTAAGTATAGGTGTGGTGTCGGGTCAGGGTTGTGTGGGTGGGGTTAGGTTAAGGTTATGTGTGTGGGGTTAGGTCAGGGTAAGTATAG